GTGGTTCAGTTCATCTTGGAGGAGGTGGGGTTCGCAGATTCTTTTTGCACGGTCTGCCAAGGCTTTAATGGCAAGGCTTTCTCGGTGGGTTCCCGCCTGTGGAACTCACTCCCCGGGGAGATTAGATCGGCAACGTCCCTTCTTTCATTTAGGAAAAAGTTGAAAACCTGGATATGGGACCAGGCATTTGGACATTCTGGCAGCTAAAGAAAGACTTGATGACGAGCTGGAACTTGACGAGACGGAATGGATTTACGGAACTCCGAACGCTGAGCTCAGGATTAGCCTACTACTGTGTTTATGGTATTGTTGTGTATTGGTGATTTAATTTTTAATTTGTAATTGTTTAATTGCTTTTATATATGTATGTATATGTGACAAGGCATCGAATTGTGCCTTTCTCTGTAAGCCGCCCTGAGTCCCCCCCTTGGGGGTGAGAAGGGCGGGGTAAAAGTGATGGAAATAAATAAATAATGGTGCTTCTTTTTTGACTTGGGTGATGGTTGGAGTTTTTATGTAGATATCTATCTGTGTGTGGGTTTTCTGTAGACGGTGTGACCCAATTGTTGATCTGGTTTGCGGATGACTAGGACATCTAGAAAAGGCAGTCTTCCTTCATTTTCTTTTTCCATGGTGAACTGGATGTTTGGGTGGATGCTGTTAAGATGGTCCAGGAACCTGTTGAGTTCTTCTTCTCCATGGCTCCAAATGGTGAAGGTGTCATCCACATATCTGAACCATATCGTGGGCTTTTTGATTGCTGTCTCCAGGGCTTGTTTTTCAAAGTGTTCCGTGTAGAAATTGTCTTTCTTTAATGCCACTGTGGCATTTGTCTAGGCTGAACTCCCTACTGATGTCAGTGCTGAAGATTCTGACTGTGTTGGTCAGTGACTGGATTTCAGTTTCTGATTTTCCGTAAAACTTTAGATCAGGGGTCCTCAAACTTTTTAAACAGGAGGCCAGTTCACTGTCACTGAAACCAGTGGAGGGCCGGAATAAAGTTTTAAAAAACCCAACTATAATCAAATTCCTATGCACACTGCACATGTCTTATTTTGAAGTAAAAAAACAAAACAAAAACAGGAACAAATACAATATTTAAAATGAAGAACCATTTTAACTCAATGTTATGGAATCCTGGAGCTGCAGTTTGATCTTTTGGCAGAAAAGATAAAACAGCTTATAAAATTTTAAATTCCAGGGTTCCATAGTATTAGGAGTTGCAGTAGCTCCTGCAATCAAAGAGCATTCTGAATTCCCCAACAATGGAATTCAACCAAACTTGGCATGCAGAACTCCCATGACCAATAGAGTCATTATAGTTTGTGGCAGCCACACAAACAAAATTTCTGGAGGAGAACAACTACTTTCAAAGTAAGGGCCGCACAATTAAACAAGAAATAACACTTTCAAATCAGGAACAGATTTTTGTTCTTCAATTTGGTTACAGAGTGTGATTCCAGGTGGGAAGGTCTGACCAAAGCAGGAGATCAGAAAAGGAGGACTTTATTCTTACTATGTTTATTTATGCACCTATTTTTGTCTCCACAAGGAGAATGTGGGCCCTTCCAGACAGGCCCTATATCCCAGGATCTGATCCCAGGTTTTCTTCTTTAAACTGGATTATATGTGTCTGCACTGCCAGATAACCTTGGATAAACAGAAAACCTAGAATCAGATCCTGGGATATAGGGCCTGTCTGGAAGGGCCCTCAAAGGGCTCTTCCAAACAGCCATATAAATCAGAATATCAAGGCAGATAATCCACAAAAACTACTTTGAACTGCATTATCAGAATCCACCATTCAAGGTGGATTGTATACAGCTGTGTGGAACGGGTCAAAGCAGCTTACATTTCCAAATAATTTCAAATCTACAAATATATTAAACATTACATCAGAATTAAATATCATTGGCATTCTTTAAAGCAGGCATGGGCCAACTTGGGCCCTCTTTGTGTTTTGGACTTCAATTCCCACAATTCCTAACAGCCTACATACAGGCTGTTTTCACAGCAGAAGTCTGGATTTGCCAAAGAGAAGCAGAGGACAAAGGGGGGAAGAAAAGGAACCTCAGGTTTTGAGGAGACGTCTTTCCTCTAGGAGGCTGGCGTTTCTGCCACCCGCCCCTCTCTTCCCTTCCTGTTTAACTCGGGGGCTAAGTTTTGCAGGGGCTCCTTGAGCCCTGCACCCAGGTAGAGTTGGAGGGGAGAGCTAGATGGCGAGGGGAGGCTTTGGGGTTACCTACTGACTGCAAGGAAGAAAGAGTATAAAAAGAAGAGGAGGAGAAAGGGAGAGAAGAAAGAGGGAGAAAGAGAGAAGGGGGAAAGGAAGAGGGAGAAAGAGAAAGAAAAAGAGAGGGGAAAGGGGAGACTGAAATGGGGAGAAAGGGAGAGAGAGTATGAGGCGGAGACAGAGCCAAGACTTATTCCACTTAGAGGGAGGCTTCTTCCTTGGTGGGCCAAACAAATGCCCTTGGCAGGTCGCATTTGGCCAGCAGGCTGTAGTTTGGGGACCCTGCTTTAGATCATCCATGTACAGCAGATGGGAAATTTTTGGTGAATTTCTTGCTGTTTGGTAGCCCAGGTTTGTTTTCTCTTGATCATAATTGCACTGTTGTGCAATTATGAACAACAGTGGTGACAGTGAGTCGCCCTGGAAAGTTCCTTTCTTGATGCTAACAATTCCATAGCTTTCATTGCCCACAAACAACTCAGTTTTCCATTGTTTCGTTTTATTTTCTGTTTATCATTGCCAGGTGATGTCCAGTTCTTGATTTTCTTCACTCTTTCAGTGATCATTTCTGTTGTTATTTCCAACGTTCCCATTTTGTTCTCTGAAATTTTATTTTCAAAATCTTTTATCTACTCAGCTTTTTTGTTGTAACTTCTGTTTCCCACGGATCTTTCCAGAGTGCATTTGTAGCTGTTTTTGCTGGTTTTACATTTTTCACAGCCACCTGCTGATTCAGACTCTGGTAGAACTGCTTCTGATCAGATTGGAAGAGCTGATTTTGTTTATATGACATATTGCTCATTTTTTCTGCCTGTTGCCATGATTTTTTGTGACAAAGAACAAAAATGTATGTATGTAAATCTTAGCAGACTCTCAAGACAGTAATATACAACAGTATTCCAGCCATGAAAGCCTTCGACAATACATTATACATTTACTGGCCAACCAAAATACACAAAATACATCATGCAAGCTTTTGAACCTTCACTGGTTTCTTCATCAGGCAACTACATTGATAATAATTCAGGAAAAGAAAAGTGACGATGTTAAGAGTCACCGACCTACAACCTTATCACACGTGCCTCCAAAGATGTTCTGGATCACCGCATCCCACCGGTGGCCACACAGAAGTCATGAGGACCTGTTATCCCATGTCCTGTTCTTTTGTGACTTCCCCTCTTCCTCATCACATGGGGGGAAACCATTTTTTGGCAGCTCAACCCATCTTTACTTATGGAAAGACAGGGATTCTGCAGTTGTCTGCCATTGCCATTCTTTCGGCAATGACAGCACTTCCGCCATGGAGCCGCTCTGGAAGTAGTTATCTGGAGTGTGATGGGAGCCATCGGGCTCTGTGGCTGAACCATAATAATCCAGCTGCCACCACTGAAAATATATATGTGTGAAGAGGTCCCTACATGTTGTCTCTGGTGTTGCTCAAGGTGACCTAAAGTACATTAAGGGGAAATTAGTAGTACAGGGATGTGGGAATAACGAGAAAAGAAAAATAGAGAAGCTAGTGACAAGAATAACAAGATCCCCAATTATATCCAAGGGATTCTGGAAAGTTAATCTACCAGAGATAAGAAGTTTTATAACAAAAAAAATAGATTTTTAATATGAAAAAGACAGCATAGACAGGGTAGGAAGTGTTAGTCAGGGCGTTTTTATTTTCTATTTCTCAACTTTTCTCTCTCATTTCTTTCAAAGCACTCTGTGCCCACTATTCTAGCTTTCTGTTTTAGATGAGAAAAGAAATGTTTTCTTTTCCACCCCTCATTTCTTTTTAACATCATAGAAATGTTTTTTGCATTATATAATAATGAAGAAGACTAAGATGTTAAAAATGCCTCTGTTCTATCTCCACTCTTGAACCCTTCCCCGTTCCTCATATATTTGCAATAAAATTATGTGGGGGGGGGGGGAGGAAAAAAGATGGTCCACACCAATGTCTGCCAGCCTTTGGTCCTCCAGATGTTTGACATCTAAGAAATCACAGYCAATGTGGCCACCTGTCAGGAATTCTGGGAGCTGAAATCCAAAGAACATGGAGGGCCAAAGACTGGGAACAATTGGCCTAGAGAGATCTCAATGAAGGAAGAGGCAACAATATCTGTTGAAAATATAGGAAACAGGAAACATTAACAAGAGGGAGCTAATTGGCTCTGACTTAATTCTTGAGGATTTTAGTTTCAGCAATAGTAAAATTAATTCATTTGGACTACAGTTGGTGAGTGTTATCTACCTATACAGTACCTACACATTTTCCCAGATATAGTAGTGCAAAGACTTTTTTAGAAATTCAATGTCTTCTGCTTCAAAAAGGCTTGCATAGAAGATAAAAAAAGTTTAACCTACTTGTTCCCTTTTGCATTGTCCTCTGAAGTCTTTTTATGAAAATACCTATAGAATGCAAGAATGACATAAAAATGAGCCATATTGGATTGGACAAAAGTTGTATCTAGTTTGCTAACCCAATGTCTAATGGAATACTGATGGGAAGCATGTTAGTGGGACATCAGGACAAAAGGACATCTAAGAGACTTCTCATATGGCCAGTATTACTGTGACCAGCTCCATAATGTTAATCATTTTTATTTTAACCATAACCACTACTATATTATCATCTTGGCATTTCACTGTGGACATAATTAAAATGAACCAGGATTTATTGGGAGTGGGAAATACTGCAACAGGTGTTTATTTCAGATATTAAATTTATTACTATTATTACTCTGTAGTAATGATTTCCCAGCACAATCAACATTAGGCAGGATCAGGCAAACTGACATTTCCACTCTCCCCCAGTATGACAATCAAAAGCAGGATCCCTGGCTATAGCCACGCTGCAGTATTATAAGTGTTTGTCATTAACATTAACTGCTATGGCTCAATGCTATGAAATCCTGGAATTTGTAATTTTGTGAGATATTGACACCCTTCTCTGTCTGGTGCCACAACAAACTACCAGTTCCAGAGTTCTATAGCATTTAGCCCTGTAAAGTGGATGCTCTCCCAGTTGGAATTCCTCCTCTTATGAGAGATTACTGGCAGAAGAGAATAGTGGTGGAAATGTCAGTCTGCTGCATTTCCCACTGAAGAAGAACAGATCTCTGTCACTCATGCTGGCCGATGTCAGGTAAAGCAGATTTATGGGATCTTTATAATTGTGGCAATAATGCCACTATCATAATCATTATTTATTTATTTATTTATGACATTTATATGCCGCCCTTCGCACCCTGAGGGGGACTCAGAGCGGCTTAGAAGATATATATATACATACAATATATTATATTATTAGCATAGTACAATATCAGTATTATATATTACTATATTGTAATATTATTAATAATATTACATGTAATATAAATACATATAATTATAATACATTATTATATTGTATTATATTATATATTGTATATACAATATATTATATTATATTATATTATTACATTACATTACATTATATGTAAAGCACAGGAGACAAGATGGAACTGTCTTCTGCCCCCCTCTCTCTTCACTCTGGCCAGATTTCTGTTTTGTAGTGGGACCCACCCCTAACATGATGGATAGGCTGTTAGTCACTGAATTGGTCGAGCTATGTCACATTAAAAAAATAAACCAGGAAGGGATTTCTTTTGTCCTTTTGTTTATATACAAAATTGTTCCTCACACTATGTAAGTGAACATTGCATTGTAAGAGGATTAGCTGACGCTGTGGCGTATTTCTCTTGCATTATCCTGTCATTTATTGCGTATTGTGGTGTGGCTTTTTCCTTTTCTGACATCAGTTGTGCAATAATACAGTTTGGTCAAGTTAGATTAATGACTGCCTTTTAACTGTTGAAAATGTATCTAGTTGTCTAGTTTCTAGTTCTCTTTCTCTCAAAACCCAAAATCAAACAAAATAATTTTAATGAGATAGAAATAACAACACAATACATCACACTATCAAAACAGAATTAAACAACCAACATTATTATACTTGAATTAAAAGCAATTTCAAAAGCATATTCCTTTTAAAAGTATAGTGCCAGGATTCAACCCTAGAGACAACCATGGGAGGCCAAGTGGGACCACAAAGCTATAACTGTGTGGTGTGAAAGGGACCTCAGAGAAGAACCATGCAGTTTCTAAAGGAAAAGAAAAGGAAAACAAACCCAACTGAACAGGCCCGTAGCCAGGATTTCATTTCGGGGGGGTGAATTTTTTGGGGGGTCGGGGGGGCTGAGTTTCAGGGGGGAGGGCTGAGTCTGAGTGAAAGAGGGTCTAGCCTAGCAAACCTTTTGTATCATTACCCCAATACCCCCATGCATATGGGATATATTGAGTATGGTGATCAGATCCTGATATGAATAAACATAACAGTTTAAATAATGCACCAGTAAGGCCTTTTCACGGACCACCATGAGAATTTCGGGGAGGCTGAAGCCCCTCAAGCACCCCCCCCCCCCCGCCCCGGCTACATGCCTGCAAAATATCACTAAGGCATTTTTAAAGAGATGAGTGAAGAAAAATATATTTGCCTGCCATTATCAACGGATTAAGAAGTATATTTTCTAGGACCCATCTGAAAGCAAATTTAATTCTCCACACGCACATCCATATATAGATAAAATCCCTCCATTCACAAATAATAATGAAATAAATAGGTCAAAGGGGAAAGCCAATTTTTGCAAGAAGTATTTTGTTAATTTTATTTATTTATTTAGATACAAGAGAGAAAAGTTTGAAGGACTGGAAACCCTCAAAACAACTTAGTGAGCAAAGTAGAGTGCTTAGTGGTTATGGTTATGAATAAAATCCTAATTGTTGTGGGAGAGGAGGAACACAGAAAATAGGAGAGATTGAGTAATAAAATGCTGCATTCTAACCCTCTTCAATGCAGCATTGTGATTTTCCTTTCATGGTTCAACTCAATGAAATCATGGAAGTTGAAGTTTATGGAGGGGCAATTAGGCTTCTTTAACCAAAGAGCACTCCAAGGCTACTGGCCAAATATAAACCCCAGGATTCAACCCTAGAGACAACCATGGGAGGCCAAGTGGGACCACAAATCTATAACTGTGTGGTGTGAAAGGGACCCCAGAGAACAGAACTAATCAAGTGATATATGACATAGGAGCACTCTATGATGCTGCTTTATGTTGCAGGTCCCATATACTAACTAACAGAAAATTTGCCCTCTTACTGTTTAGAATCAGGAATACAGTAGACCCCATGGCTGTGGGACTAATATCCATAATTTCATTTATCCATGCCCTCAAACATGACTCTATGGTATTCCTGGGCCCGATTTCCTTCATTTCAATTCACTTTACTATTACCCATGGTTTTAAATATCCATGCATAGTCCGGGAATGTATTCCCCACAGACCGGTGGGTCTGTATTATAATAACCAGAAGTATTGGGGAAATGTGGTGCAGAACTAAGGCAATAAAAGGTCCCAGGGAAGCCCGAGAATGTAGAATACTGAGCTTGTATTTGGAGGCAGCTAATGAAAACCACCTAAAGAGAGGACAGAATGATATATCTTACAAAGGGCTTTTATCCGGCTGATGATAATTTGAGGAGCTATTCATACCAAAACACTGTGTGATAAATATCTCTCATAACACTTAATAAATCATCTATAAAGATTTGTATTACTTACTCTGATTTAATGATGCCATTATCTGTTGGGAAACAAAAACAACCTATAATTAAAATTTATTGAAAATGCATGCACTGCTTATGCAAAATTATGAATACTTTATGAAATATCCACATGTTAAATAGTCTGGATCAAGCTGGGATGATGTGAAACTAGTGTATAAAATAGGTCAATAAAATGGAAATGGATATAGCTGAGTTTCCAACACATAAAGGTAAAGGAACATAGTTTAATGGCAGAGCAGAAGCGGTCCAAGATCCAAGCACTACTATCTCTAGTCAAGCACAACATTCAAGACAAGTAGGATGAAAAGGCAAATGTTTTGACATAGCAAAAGGCCATATATTTGCCTAATTGAAACATATATCTCTCTTTCCATGTCTGACTTTTAGAGGTCCATTTGGTTTCAGTTCATTTACCAGTACTAATCAAACATTTGACCATATTCCTAAAAAGGATAACATTGTTACGTATGTTAAGGCCAAGAGGCTTTGAAATGAAACTACTGCTATATACTATCACGAACATTGTTTGCAGGACTAACCATTATATATACATAACTGTTATTTTAATTATTTATGTTGATATTGCCACCCTGCTATTCCATTTATAGGCTGTCAAAAACATCTAACAATAGGTTTTACAAATGCCTTCTAAAGCAGCATTATATCATAATAATATGGCAGAAAAAACAATGCCAAATATTAGAGATAACATCAAGTCAAGGACGGGACAGTACAAAACTGAAAAAGGTAATACAGGTATATCCTTAGCTATCCCCCTCCCCCTTGAAATTCTCAGACATAATCCCATCCCCATGTGCACAATCAAACCCTCCAATTACAATTATTAAATTGAATGTTATTTGTTCCTGCCTTTGACTGGTTTGGTTTCCAAGGAAGCAAATATGCACAGCCACAATATTATCACTAATATGTCAGTTCTGCTTCTCTCGCCCACTTTTCCTCTTATTGCTGCTGGACTCCTTCTTCCTCTTTCATAGAACCTCATCAGATGGAGATTCAGAAGCCAAGAGAAAGTGGAGAAAACCACGGGGCAGCAGAGGAAACCCGTGTCTGATGAGGTCCTTAAGCTAGGGAGAATCAGCATTCCTTAATGTAAGCATTACTTACCATCTTAAAAAAGAAAGCATGTAATAATTCCTTGTCATCATTCTTGAGTAAATTTGCTACTAATGACTAATGATTACAATTTTTTTGTAATAGTGCTCAAAAATCTAAAATGCTGACCACACTGCTTAAAAATAAAGTCTTGAGTTCTCATTACTTTTTAACAAATGGGAATGGTAATTACATTACTTTTAACATGTCTACATGACATACAAGTAGACACATAGAGGAATGTGACATACAAAAGGAAATGAACCAGGGATTATCCTGGGCATTGGGAACTACAGAATCAATTTGGAGCTCTCTTCTTTATCAGTGATGATGGCGAACAATAAGAAGGGCAACAATGTGTGTCCTCAGGGAATGTGCAAGTGACCTTAGGAGATTCAGCACAGAGAAGGGCATCTATGAATTCCCAGGTAAGACATATAGAATCATAGAATCAAAGAGTTGGAAGAGACCTCATGGGCCATCCAGTCCAACACCCTGCCAAGAAGCAGGAATATTGTATTCAAATCACCCCTGACAGATGGCCATCCAGCCTCTGTTTAAAAGCTTCCAAAGAAGGAGCCTCCACCACACTCCGGGGCAGAGAGTGTGGTGGAGGCTCATTCTTTGGAAGCTTTTGATGATGGTACAGGACTCCTTTCTGGGGGTAATATAAATAGTGGTTTGTGAAAATGACAGATTGACTTGAAAGGTGTGTGCTTACACGCCTCTCAAGTCATCTTGTCATTTTAACAAAAAAATCCATGATATAGCAGACTCAATGACATGACTCATTGAGTTCACCAATCATTACCCTTCCCTTTGGTCAACATGGGAACTAATGACACCGCAAGACATAGCCTTCAAGATATCACAAGGGATTACAAGGAAAGAAGCCAATTGACCAAGATGCACAGATTGTCATTCTGTCTCTTTCCCCAGTTGAAGGATATGGCCCAGGAAGCGAGAAAATAATAGTGGAGATGTGTAACTGGCTCTGCTGATGGTGCTGTCAGGGGCAATTTGGATTTTTGGACCATGGTCTCCAGTTTCAAGAAGACTGATGTCTAGCAAGTGATGGATTGCATCTCACAATAGTTGGCAGGAATGTTTTTGCTAAGAGTCTCACAACCTGGATTGGGAGACTTTAAACTGAAGGAGACAGTATTATTGAGGGCAGGATCTCATCAAGAACTAGAAATAATAGACCGATTATTACAGAGAAAACTAGGCAAATAGTACAAGATCCCAACATGGAGAAGAAAAAACCTTATACAAACAGATAGAGGGAATGACCCTTGGTCTTAGATACATCTATACTAATGCATAGAGCATGGGAAATAAACAGGTTGAACTTGAACCTTTGCCATAGCAAAACATATATGAGACATCACTGAAACCTGGTGAGATGAGTATCATGTGTGGAATGTAATAATAGAGAGTTATAACCTTTTTCAGAGAACTAGAAAGAAGGAGTAGCAGCTTTATATGTCAAACAACAGCTGCTTCCTGGTAAATGGGGATTGGGGGAGTTGGGACAGAATTTATTGCATATTTATTTATTTACCCCATTTATGCCCCAACTTTCTCTACCCCAAAGGGGACTCAAGGTGGCTTACACATAGGCAATTATTCAATGCCTTAAAACACATACAGTTCCAAAATATTAAAATTAAAATTAAGTTATTAGAAATTTAAAAACATTATATACCATATTAAAATCATACCATCCATAATCATAGTCCAAGCCATTCCATAGTCATTGCACATATTCCAAATCTATTATTTCACTGCACTATTCTCTGCATAGTTCTGTAACATCCCAAATACATCTGTACCCACAAATGGGCAAATAAAGAAATCTACATTTCCAGATATGTTTTCCAGAGTAAACCAATTGTCAGAACATTTTCCTGGCAATACTCTATATGTACTCCAAATATCTTGATGTGTTTTTGTTCTACTGTTTTCCTTGATCTTTTCTTGGTCATTTTTATTCTGAGTAATTTTGATAAATGTATTGTCGAAGGCTTTCATGGCTGGAATCACTGGGTTGTTGTAGGTTTTTCTGGCTATATGGCCATGTTCTAGAAGCATTCTCTCCTGACGTTTCACCTGCATCTGACCTCACAACCTCTGAGGATGCTTGCCATCGATGCAGGTGAAATGTCAGGAGAGAATGCTTCTAGAACATGGCCATATAGTCCAAAAAACCTACAGCAACCCAATTTTGATCAACTTTGTAACTTGATCATTTATGGGTTGCAGGTCAGTGGCTATTTGTCCCATACTTAAGAATAGTGAAGTGCAGTCTTTTCACTATCACTTTATAGAGGTGCTGTGTACCTTCAAAACATTTACAGATTAAGGCAATCCTAAGGCAACTCTATCATGATATTTTCTTGACAAGATTTGTTCAGAGGGAGATTTGCTGTTGCCTTCCTTTGAGGCTGAAAGAGCGTGACTTGCCCAAGGTCACCTGTGGTGAGTTTCCATCACTCAAACTCTTATCTACCGAGTTATAAAAGCTCAAATGACTTCTGCCCTTACAGTGATTCTTAGATGGAAAGAATTATAAGCATTTGATTTAGGTGGCCCTTTGATTAAACCCAAACATCCCCAACCCTTGGAATGAATCCTGGTTTTCACAGCTTCCTTAGAAGTGGGAATGGTTCATTTAGGTCTGCACGGCAGGCTGTATTGCCTTGTCTGGAATTCATTGCCTACAGCTGTTTAGAAACAGCATTAGCGTCATCATGCTTCCCACTCCTTTTCCTGCCTCTGCTTGTTATTTAGGCACACATGGTCTACCCCTTTCGGAAACAAGAACTCTTCTAAGGATAAAGACACTTTCAAAGCATTCCAAGAATAAGTATTATTTCCCTGGCAGGAGGATTGCTTTGAAATTCAGGAAATGTGTATGTATACCATTGGTGCAGCTATAGGGTACTGCCCCTTTTCTTTCTTTAACTGTACATATTTATCTATACTTAACATTTAAGTTCCTGCAATACTAGAAATTTGAGAAGAAAGGGAAAAATAGGGGGGGTGAGGGGACAACATCCTCATTTTGTTAGCCCCATGCCTGATTCAAACTATTTGTACCATTCTTTGGTGCTTGTTTGTGTCAGGAGCGACTTGAGAAACTGCAAGTCGCTTCTGGTGTGAGAGAATTGGCCGTCTGCAAGGACGTTGTCCAGGGGATGTTTTAATGTTTTACTATCCTTGTAGGAAGCTTCTCTCATGTCCCAGCATGAGGAGTTGGAGCTGAGAGAGGGAGCTCATCCGCACTTTCCCCAGATTTGAACCTCTAACCTGTCAGTCTAAAGTACTGATGGCACAAGACTTTAACCCATTGTGCCTCCAGGTGCAATGGGTGAAAATTGAAACTCCACACAGATGAAGGCATATGAACAGGTCTACCTAGTCCAACAACCTGTCTCACATGTTGATCAATATCCAGGACAAGGGGGCAATAGCCTTCTATCACTGTTGCTCTCCAAGAACTGGTAGTTCATAATAACAATAATCCTGAATCTGGAGGCAGCATATTGCCATTGTGTCCTCTAGCTACATATACCCTTACCTTCCATGAATTTTTCTAGTCTGTTTCAAGAATAAATATGATGGGATGCATGCTCTATGTAAAAATATTCAGGGACAGACTGAGTAAATTTAGATATTTATTTATTTACTATATTTCTATACCACCCTTCTCAGCCCGAGGGCGACTCAGGGCGGTTTACAAAATGGCACAATTTGATGCCACAATAATATAAAAACAGTTAAAGCATATAAAATACATATAATTCCATAAACAATAAAATGAATAAAAACATAAATCCTCCACATCTCATTACCAAAATCATTATCCGATTGCAAATGACTGCTGATAAAAGGTTGGGTCCTAACTAATTTGGGGGTGTATTCAAGACCTCCTCTTGCTTTTCCAGAGAGTCCCTCAACCTTTTGCAGTAGATTTTCAAATGCCGAAAGGATTGTGGAGATATGAGGAGGGACAGAATTGGCCAAAAATGCCTCCCCCTCCAATCATTGTCCAGCCATAATATTCCTTAAGCAGACCTTTGGTGACTAGAGATAAAATCCATAGTCCATTATTAAAGCTGTTGAAGTCTCATTCCATAGTTTCCTATTCACCAAATGCCTATGTAAAAAGCCAGGTCTTAAGCTTCTTTCTAAAAACCAGGAAGGATGGGGCCTGCCTGATGTCACTGGTGAGGGAGTTCCACAGCCGAGGGGCCACCACTGAAAAGACCCTATTTCTCATCTCAACCAATCACGCTTGCAAGGAGGTTGGGAAAGAGAACAGGGCCTCCCCAGCCAATCTTAAAGCTCCTGAAGGCTCATAAAGGAAGATGTGTTCAGACAGGTAAGTTGGACCAGAACCATATAGGGCTGGTTCATGAGTTAATATACAAAACAATTAGTTAGGAATCCAATGAAAGCAAAAATGCTGTACAGAGAGAGCATTTAAGAAATTAATAGAAATCATGCATTTGGGTTATTCAAACAGATTTGAAACAAAGTCAATAGGCATACAGGGAGCATACAATCCCCTGTTGCATCAGCTCCACTGCCTGCCAGTTTGCTACCGAGCTTTAGTCTTTAAAGTTCCAAACTGTTTCATCCCAGCTTACCTGTCTGAATGTATCTCCCACTATAGACCACCTTGGAGATTAAGATCTTCTGGGGAGGCCCTACTCTCGGTCCCACCTTCTTTGCAAGCATTACTGGTGGGAACGAGAGACAGGGCCTTCTCAGTGGTGGCCCTTCAGCTGTGGAAGTCCATCCCCAATGACATTAGATGAGCCCCCTCCCTCCTAGCCTTCAGAAAGAAATTAAAAACCTGGATGTGGGATCAAGCTTTGGGAGAAGCAGTGCAATAATATACAGTGTTCCCTCAGTTATCATGGGGGTTCCATTCCAGGACCACCCACAATAAGTGAAAATCTGCGAAGTAGGAATGCCATATTAATTTTAATATTTATACATTATTCTATATATTTATTCTTTTCTTACCCGCGCTTCCTTACCCGCCTCCCGGCCCATCCCAAGGGCACCTAGCTGCCTCCCTGGCCTCCACAGAGCCTCCAGAGCTATGCAGCCAGTAGCAGGCCAGGGAGGCAGGCCTTCCCTGCCACACCACAGGCCGTGGCACTTCCGGGTTCCCTGGCTTCCACTGGATGTAAACATTTAATATTTTTATTAATATTTTCAAAAACCCACAAAACAGTGAGTCCACTAAAAGCGAACTGCATAGTAGTGAGGGAACACTGTAATATAATTGGAATATGTGCAGTGACTATGGAACAGCCTTAGAATATGACTTTTGGATGGCGTGTTTTAATAATGAATGTAATTTTAAATGATTTATATGTACTACTTTTTAATGTAATTGTTTTTAAGCTTAATGCTTATATGTGTTTAAGGCATTGAATAATTGTCATATGTGAGCTGCCTTGAGTCCCACTTGGGGTAGAGAAAGGTGGGGTAAATAAATAAATAAATATTTTCCACAACTCATAATCAGAGAAGGATGTGAACAAGCATATCCAGAACTCCATTATACATGTTTGAATTCAAGAGATGTCTAAAATGTGAAATATCTTACGTGATTCATCTGATTCAAAGGCATAGTTGTCTTCTCCAATTTTCTTAATGCTGCACAGGGTAACTGGTTCAGGCATGGTCTGCTTCTTCACTTTTCTATTAATAAATTAATAATAAGGCATATGACAGTTTTCTCTAGCTTTGGCATTGCTCACAGATATGTAACACTTCTCTAAGCCAAATGTCTTTCCCAGAAGAACTCAGGAAACACTGTGTGTTTAGGCTTCATGTTAGTGATTTATTTGTTTGTTTTCCTGTTTCACAAAACTCTTAATTTTGTTAGTGTCCATCACGCCCAATCAATAGTTAGAAACAGAAATAAAAATAGTACTGAAACATAAAATACAAGGTGACCCTTATATCACCAAAAGCAATATATACATTTATCCTGAGTTGCTTATCATTATGTTATGTGTTACAGTAGAGTCTTGCTTATCCAACATAAACGAGCCGGCAGAACATTGGTTAAGCAAAAATGTTGGATAATAAGGAGGGATTAAGGAAAAGCCTATTAAACATCAAATTACATTATGATTTTACAAATTAAGAACCAAAACATCATTTTTTACAAGAAATCAACTGGAAAAGCAGTTCAATACACTGTAACCTTATGTAGTAATTACTGTATTTACGAATTTAGCACCAAAACATTGCAATGTATTGAAACAGCTGTGGGTCTGGGTGGGAGGCAGACTGCGTTGAATAATAAAGAATGTTGGATGAGCGAAGATTGGATAAGCGAGACTGTACTGTACTTAAAAAGATGATATAACATATTGCTATTATTACAATACAATAATTTCAGCAGAGTATTTATAAATAAAATTCAGATGAAGGGGCTGACAAACTTACTTGAGGACCGAGAACACATGAAATACCAGAATACTAGATGCAAATAAATTTCGTTATCCCACCCTCAGTGTGAAAAAGTGGGGTCTCAAGGAAGATTTCATGGAGGGAAGACCGGGGGATTTGTGTTTGGCAATGCCTTAATTTGCCTCCTCCCCATAGCTACAGACTCAGGAGGGTACCTGGGGAAATAAATTCGCCACTGGATCCACAGAATAAGCAGAGTGGATATAAAAAAGAATTTGCTCAGGACAAAAAGTTTGCCCCCCCCCCATCCCACCTCACCTTATCTCTCCCCCCATCTGCTTCTCCAATCCAGCTCAAAGCTCCCTTTCCCCCTCACACTCAATTGCATAACAAAACTTAAAATATCAGGCAATATAGACCTTCTGCATCATGTATAATTTCTAATATAACAGAACAATATGAAGAAGGTACTTCACAAAAACACATTATTTTTCAATAGTAATGGCTTTTTTCTCATAAGCACAGCAACAACACAAGAAAATGATGACAAGCCATTTTGAATGAAACATTTTAAATTACTGACTCACTTATTACTACTAATAGTAATTGTTATTCTGAAAATATACTCACAAGTTCAAGGAAATAAGGGAAAAGACAGGAAAACAATATCCAAGGATTCAGTCAAGTGAAATTAGCCAGTGGTTTGCACGTTCATTTTCAAAATATACCAGTTCTTAGTATAGTAACCTCATGTACCAGGATTTAATCTGTCCAATTGTCATGGTGTGTTTGCACATAGGTCAGTACCCTTGTGGTTATCAAAGTTCAGTGACATCTAATGTAGAATTTTAACCTAACTTAGCAGGAAAAGAGGAAAGATTGTAATACTCCTGAAATACTACTTTTGAAGGTGTGAAAGGCAAATTAACTCACCTACCTTTTACCATTTTAGTGAGAAAACAATATATTTTAGATAGTGTGAAGGATACAAAGGATACAAAGACCACTGCTTCCTTCAGTCTTAGTACAGCATTTGAGTTTGAAAATGGTGCAGTGTCCAATTTTAAAAACTGGAGTTTAATGCCCCATACTTTTCCCACCTGGCAGTTCAACAGTCTTTTTCACTGCACCATTCTTCTTTTACTTTGACCTAGCACCAAAAAGTTATGTAAAGCTGTCTATGGGATAGTCTCTATGGGCATTAGAACCCAGACTTATCCTGAGTTGGCTATTGGCTTCCCCATGACATTTATTTATTTATTTCCTATATTTTTACCCTGCCTTTCTCACCCCCGAGGGGGGACTCAAGGCAGCCTCACAAAAGCATCATAGGATGCTGACATCATAAAAAGAATCAGCAATACAGTAAAATATTAAAAACAGCAATTAAACAATTGATTTAAAACATCCCTGTTGAAATCAGAATCCAAAATCCAGAGTCCAAGGTCTAGTCGGGGTCAATTCATTGTCTTAAAACTTCTTTTACTTGCTGTTATTACTGGTCGAATGCTTGGTCCCATAGCCAGTCTTAAGTTTCCTTCTGAAAGACAGGAGGGAGGTGGCCAATCTGATGTCCCTGGGGAAGGAGTTCCACAGATGGGGGGCCACTGCAGAGAAGGCCCTCTCCCTTGTCCCCACCAGTCGCATTTGCGATGGCAGTGGGATCGAGAGCAGGGCCTCTCCAGATCTTAAATTTTGTGATGGTGCGGAACAGGAGATACATTCGGACAGGTAAATACGTTCAGATTTTTCTCCACTTCCAGTAGATATTGTGAGTTAAAATGGGTTAATCAGGTTTAGCCCCATGTTAGTAAAATCTGGTGGATGCTCCAGAGTTTGGTTGAAACTCTGGAGTAATCCTGCAGCTTTGAGGGTAGTGTGGACAATAGGAACAGGCGTGATTTAGGTTGGTCTGCTAGCTGTATGGGGCACTGAATTATGTAAATATCATCACTATCACTGCTCCTAACCAGCTGCAGAGCTCCTGGCCATCACAGTATAATCAGCGAGCCCCCAGCGAGTGAGGATAACTGCCCAGTGTGCACCACTAATCTGAAGTCAGGATCAAGGAGACATACTGGGTGAAGGCAGCAGAAACAGAAGTATATTCAGCTGGCCAGATGGATGTCAGAACAGCATAATCACTCAAAGAACTGGCATAACTCATACAGAAAAGTGCAACACATTTTATACAGTTTGACAGCTATTCAAAACTCCCACTCCCTCCTAATTGGTCAGGAGACATGCCTCCTAGAGTCCTCCTTTTCATTGGCCAAGGCTTCATCCTGACATCACTTACCAAGGCAGAAAATCTCATGACAGGAAGAGAGAACTGGGATTGGCAGCGTTCAAAGTTAAAGGTCCGTCGTTGTGCCTGCCTCTGAGGGGCACGGGCTCTATTGTCCACACTGGAAATAATGGGAACTTTGCAATAATGGATTTTGGAAGCTTGGAATAATCCATTCACAAAGTGTGTAGCTTGGAAAACTAGAAAGTCAATCAAGTGGGTAAATAAAATTCTTGATAAGACCTGAAGGTTGCTGGCAATCAGTCTCTCAGCAGGAAGTCCCCTTGTCCACTAGAAGCATATGTGTTATTTCCCAAAGCAGGCATGTAGTTCAAAGTCACATAAGCACTACACAATATTAATTATGTCATATGATAACCAGTGGATCTTGTGATGGTTTGCTTCATTGCAGGTCCTCAATTGCAGAAACAGAATGGTAACATATTGGAGCTGGAAGTCCAGCTGTGTGAAGTTCAGTAAGAAAGAAAAGGAAAGGGATAGCCCAGTGGATCCAGCAGAAAGAGCTGGGTCAGTTTTTTAAGTGTGTTGATTTCATATGTATTATATTGGTGTTTATTCATTTTCTTTATATTATTTAATTTTATTTATCTTGAGAGTGAGGCTCGAAAGGTGAGGAAAAGGTCAACCCTGAGATTTTGGAGTCACAGCCTAATCTTGGTTTCAAGGGCTTACTCAGAATTACAAAGGAGGGTTGATCAGATTAAGGTGTTCTAGGTTTCTTGTGAAGGAAGTAGGCATGCTTTTCCACCATCGGGGCGAGGGGGGGGGAGGGTGAGAATCTTGGCATCTGGTGTGGATTTCATATTTAGTATTTTATATTTCCAGTCAATATGAGTTAGAATGGGGTTTTTGTTTTGGGGAGGCTTGGCTTTGGCTATGGAACCTCCAAGAAGAAAGGGACAGGTTTCAATAATCACATAAACAAAATGTATATAGAAATGAAGTTTTGAATGTGTTGCGCCTGGTCTGGGGTGATTATAATAAAATACAAAAAGGGGGGTGATTTTTTTTATAACAACAGATGCCCCGTGTGACATTAGCAGAGGCACCTGCACAACCAGGAAGAGAAGGCCAACAAGGGGAGATTGGCCTTCTCCTTTTGATCATGGGAATACGTCTACTGATATCAGCATGGGGTACCTGTGATGACCACACAAAACTCTATAGCCAGCTGGGAGTGACAACAGCAATAAGGAATGTGAGGTAACAGTCCAACAGGGTTGACATAAGCTCAACCCAGCTGGATTGTATGAACTCCAACTCACCTCCACAGCAGGTTGGGAGGGTGCAAGTGGCCTCCTCTGGAGCCAGTCCAAAGCATTTCTGTTCTGAACTGACACCAAATTTACCAACTAGTGTAGACATGGTTTAGAAAATCCACTGAAGGTTGGATGATAATGATGATGGTGATGATTATATCCTGCTTTATCACTCCCTAAGAAGACTCAAAGCAACTTAACATAAAAACATTAGCATTCAATTTAATATACAAATATGCAAACATTAAAACAGAATTAAATATAAACAGTATTTTAAAATTCACAGTTAAAATCCATTAAAACGTGTTCAAAGTTAACAACTTGAATCTTCCTTTCTTGCTCCCAGGCCAAATTCACCAACAAACCGATTCTGTTGTTTCCTAATTTTGCATTCCAGTAATCTATGATCATCAACATGATATGTGATCAATTTCCTCCTGAACTCCTTTTCAGTTTTCTTCTCTTTTGCCTCCTTAGTTGGAGCATAAATTTGAATTAAGGTTATACTGATAAGTCAGAATTTACATTACATCCCTGAGTGTTTTAGCTACATCTTTAATCACTATTGATGTCACCCCATTTCGCTTTAATTTTCATTTCCTTCATAGAATCATAGAATAACAGAGATTGCTATCTGAAAGCTTGATCCATAATTTTTCATGATCTATGCAAGCCTTCACAACTAGGTCCTTGTAAAGGGCCATTTTTTTGTAAAAGCTTCTGAGGGCTACTCCTCCTCCGTCCCTCCCTCCCTCCCTGCCTGGCTGCCTGACCAGGGAGGGAGGGAGGGAGGAAGGAGTGTCCCACAGTGACCGGTGAAGGGGAAGGCCATCCCTTCAACTGCCTTGTGTTGACCCTTCGCCTGCCTGCCTATATGGTCAGACAGGCAGGTGAAGGGCCAATCGACAAAGGGGAAGCCTAGCCCTACCTGCTGGTCACAGGGAAGGAAGATCACACCTGGCCTATGTAATTGTATTTTGTGCAGGCCTGATCTGTAATATCAGATGTTTTATTATTATTTATTTGCCACATTTAAACCACGCCCTTCTCACTCTGAAGGAGCTCTGAGCGGCTAACGTATAAGGCACAATTCGATTTCATACAATTATACCCAGAGGCGGCCCTAAATAATTTTCAACTGTAAGCAAACAGTATTTTGCCCCCCCCCCCCCAACCAACCACTGATATAGATTTTCTGTTCGTCGTGGGAGTTCTGTGTGCCATATTTGGTTCAATTCCATCATTGGTGGAGTTCAGAATGCTCTTTGATTGTAGGTGAACTATACATCCCAGTAACTACAATTTGCATATGCCAAGGTCTATTTTCCCCCAAGAGCGCCTCAAGGGCGCCACTGGGCAAAATCAACTATACTGCAAATGCTTACTTTGTGTAATGGGTTGAGCCGCCCCTGATTACACCTCAGACGAATAAACAATGCATTAAAACCAAACAGTAAAAACATATCAAACATTAAAACCACTTATTAAAATCATGTAATCCAATACCATAGTTGAAGGCCATTCCAATTGTCATTGCACCATTCCGCATTCACTTATTGCACTTGGAGATTGCTATCCGAAAGCTTGATCCCACAACCACGTTTTTAGTTTTTTTCTGAAGGTCAAGAGGGAGGGGATTGATCAAATTTTACTAATCTTTAAACAGGTAGGCTTTCTTTTGAAATTCTTTAGTGCAATCTATCATTGAGTCGCCTTCAGGCACGAGAATGGCAGGACAGAAATATCATAAATAAATAAATAATCTAATGTATGTTTGAATATGATCCCTAGTGCTTCTTCTTTTCTTGAACTTGGCTTGGCATTTCTCACTCCATATTTGATAACAGTATTTGTTGTAGAATTTTGAGCATCACTTCTCTTGCATGGAGAAATAATGCAATGGTCCTGTAGTTATAGCTGTACCTTGCGTTCCTTTTCCTGGGGAATGGAATGTATTTTGAGACCTTCCAATCTGTCATCTATTGTTTGGTTTTTCCATATTTGCTAACAGGTTTTAGTTACAACTAGAATAAATTATGTCTCTGTTGCTTGAAGCAGTTCTACAGTATTAGTATGCCAACTATTCCTGGTGATTTATTTCTCCCAAGTCCTGTGAATGCAGCTGCCAGTTCACTTTCTAAAACGGGGCGTTTATCTTTATGTGGTTCTTCCTCAAATGATATCTTATATAATTCTTCTATTCATTCTAGTACCTCATACTATAGTTATGACATAGTAGATATGAAAACCACATTGAAACGTATTGCTGAGGAAGGGAGTGGTAGTAAGCTGAGAGAACGATTCATCACTCTTTCTGTCAGTTCTCTGGAATATATTACATCAAGCAAAGAGGTTACTTCCAGGTGCAAGTCAGTGCTTGGTTACTTCAGGTGTATGGAGATGACACAGCACCTTGTGCCTCCTCCAGCTCCCTAGAAGGAATTTCTGCGCTGTAAAATCTAGATGACATAAATTTAGCAGATGACATTTGCCCCATCTTTGCTTTCTGATGGTTCAATGGCCACAAGCTTTGATTCATATACAAAATTATTTGATTGTATCCTTGCCTTCTTTTGTGATGAGGCATTGGTTGTTTGCCTCTATGTGGTTTTTAGTGTCCCCTTCAGGAGATAGCGTGAAATATAAAATTATTATTATTATTATTATTATTATTATTATTATTATTATTTGAAACACAACAAGATGAGTCCACAGCAGACGCTCTGCTGGCTGTTTGTATTGGATCATATGTTGGACACTTCTCAAGTGTTTAGGACTGTGTGATGTATCGGCGAATAATGCATGTAGATCCCAGTAAGGTGGCCTTTTGCAGCTGGAAGATGGTAATCTTGTCAGGGCCAATTGTGTTTAAGTGCAGGCCAAGGTCTTTAGGCACTGCACCCAGTGTGCCGATCACCACTGGGACCACCTTTACTGGTTTGTGTCAGAAGCTTTGCAGTTCAATCTTTAAATCCTCATATCGTGTCAGCTTTTCCAGTTGTTTCTCTTCAATCCTGCTGTCACCTGGGAATGCAACATCGACAATCCATACTTTGTTTTTAGCACCATCGTGAGTTCAGGAGTATTGTGCTCCAAAACTCTGTCAGTCTGAATCCAGAAGTCCTAGAGTAGCTCTGGATTCAGACTGACAGAGTTTTGGAACATTATCATCATCATCATCATCATCATCATCATCATCATCATCATCATCATCTGGAGAGGCCCTGCTCTCGCTTCCACCTCCCTCGCAGGCGCAATTGGTGGGGACGAGGGAGAGGGCCTTCTCTATGGTGGCCCCCCGAGTCTGGAACTCACTCCCCAAGGATATCAGAGAAGCCCCCACATTGGCAGTCTTTAGGAGGAGCCTGAAAACATGGCTGTTCCAGTGTGCCTTCCCTGAATAAAGGAAACAATCCCCTGCAAATATCCTGAGAAGCACTTTAATATCCTGTTGGGTTGTTCTCCACTTTTGGTTTTAAAACCCTCCTACTAGATACATCCTCTGTTCATGTCCCACATTTATTTTTAAAGTTTTAACTATTACATCTGGCCCTGCCATAGGTTTTTAAATTCTTGTGTCTTATTGTCTACGTGTGAGTTATACTAATTGTATTGTTTATTTTGTTTATTGCTTGTTGTTTTATTGATGTGTTGTTGGGCTTGGCCTCATGTAAGCCGCTCCGAGTCCCTTGGGGAGATGGTGGTGGGGTATAAATAAAGTTATTATTATTATTATTATTATTATTATTATTATTATTATTATTATATTTTAAAAATATTGTATGGAATTACTTTCAGGTTATAGGTATAAGGTGTATATGAAACATAAATGAACTTTGTGTTTAGACTTGGGTCCCATCTGTAAGGGTGCATGTACACTGTAGAATTAATGCAGCTTGACACCACTTTAACTGACATGGCTCAATGCTTTGGAATCATGGGAGTTGTCTTTTTTCAAGGTCTTTCTCCTTCTCTGCCAAAGAGTGCTGGTGCCTCACTAAACTACAAAGCCCAGGATTCCATCACATTGGTGTGACAGCTGTCCTTTGGGAGGCAGGCAAATATCTTTTTGCTTCAAGAGGTCTTTGGGAATGACCTGCTAAAAGGGCTTTCGTTAAGGTGCTGTTATCATCTGCATCAATTGTCACCGTTGTTTCAGTGAGCAGGTTCTTAAATTATTTAAGTCCTATTTATAGTTTAATTATAATTTAACTTCTGTGTTTCTCAATGATGGAGAATTTTAACTCTGCTCTTTTTCATTTTGTGAGTCCCAAGGCTGAAGTAAAAGTGTGATAGAAACAAATAACAAAAAAAATCTAAAATAATTGTTTGGTTGGGTTTTAAAAAAACAACGTCTTAGTGTGTTATGTATTAACAGCAAGGCTAAATACAACTCCTTGCCGCTGGGTGTTTCCTAGGGAAGGAAACACGTTTGACTCACTGCCTCCGCAAAGAACACACATGTGGAAATGCAACTCCCTCCAGTATTCTGACTCATTAATACGGACTAAACCTGCCATTTGTTTATGCCATGAGTCACACTCCATTCAGTCATAGCATAATTTAAAAAGGCTGCCCAGTAGAAGAATCATAGGTTAACATTTCCACCTCGAGGAAGGAGAGCGACAACCAAACAGAGGTCTAGACAAGCCATACTTTTAACAGCATCTTACCACAACAATCTTCTTCCATTGGGTAAGTGCTAATTCCAACTTTGATATAACTTTTTGGTGTGGTGTCATGGTTAAAAGTGTACCTAACAGAACTAGCATGTAATATTTAATGTAATACATAAATAATATAAAGTACTGTGAAATGTATTTAACAGTTAGGTGCTGATTGGCTATCCATTCTCAACAAATAGTAGAAAGGCAATATCGAAATATTTTTAAAATAATATTATTATTCATTTTTTTCAATGAGCCTTTCACACTATGGATTACTTCATTTAATATGGCAGAAACTTTATCAGTTTAAAATAACAATAACAATGGGTTGTTGTAGGTTTTTCCGGGCTATATGGCCATGTTCTAGAGGCATATTCTCCTAACGTTTCACCTGCATCTATGGCAAGCATCCTCAGAGGTAGTGAGGTATTGTTGAAGGCTTTAATGGCCAGAATCACTGGGTTGTTGTAGGTTTTTCGGGCTATACGGCCATGTTCTAGAAGCATTATCTCCTGACGTTTCACCTGCATCTATGGCAGGCATCCTCAAAGGTCCTCACAGGAGAGAATGCTTCTAGAACATGGCCATAGAACCCAAAAAACCTACAACAACCCAATAATAACAATATATACAGATTACAGGAAATTCATTTGTAACTTAGTAGTGGAAGAAGGAGTTTTCCTATACCATTGCATACCTCTATATCTAGACTATAGATTTCTCTTGTTGTCTATATTTCTTTTGAACTTCACTTTTAGGATTGCATGGCAGTTAGATGTTCAGCAGGTGGGGTGTTGTCCATTTGTAAATAAGTGGTGACAGAAAGTGCTTCGTATGTTGAATATGATAGTGTGTCTTTGATGGTGGCAGGAAGAAAAGGTTTGCTAGCAGATAGACTTTACCCACCAGGGACCCTTTCACACCTTGCAGCTATAGCACTGTGGTTCTACTCTAGCTGTTATGGCAACCGTTTATGGGATCCTGGGATTGGCAGATTGGGAAGGGAATTTTAAAATCGTCAACCTCTGACCAAACTCCCAATTCCAGAATTCCATTCAATGCAGCCATGGCCATTAAAGTGGAATCACACAATATGGAATTAATGAAGTTTGACACCACTTTAACTGCCATGTCTCAATGCTATGGAATCCTGGGATTTGTAGAATATCAAGGTACCAATCTACACATCTGCCAAAGATAGTCTAGACCAGGGGTCCTCAAACTAAGGCCCGAGGGCCAGATACGGCCCTCCAAGGTCATTTACCCGGCCCTCGCTCAGGGTCAACCTAAGTCTGAAGCGACTTGAAAGCACACAACAACAACAATCCTATCTCATCAGCCCACACTTCCCACTGAAATACTAAGTTTATATTTGTTAAAATTGTTCTTTATTTTAATTATTGTATTGTTTTTAAGTGTTTTTTGCACTACAATAAGATATGTGCAGTGTGCATAGGAATTCATTCATGTTTTTTTTCAAATGATAATCCGGCCCTCCAACAGTTTGAGGGACTGTAACCTGGCCCTCTGTTTAAAAAGTTTGAGGACCCCTGGTCTAGACCTCTCTTTGGAGAAAAGGCTATAGACCTGCTGTTGCCATTTTGTTTGCTCCAAGCTGCCCCTCTGCCCTTCATTCCCATCTGTTCTGCCTCCGCCTTCCAGTTTTAAGCTAAGGATCCACTGCTGTCACCTTGATTTGTGTGGCTGCACTTCCTGTTCTATCGGGTTAATTATGCACATGGACGTGAAACCAAAGATTGGCTTGGGTCACCAGTAGTAACAGCAACTTTGGAAAGGAAGTGGTAGAGATGGTGGCTTGGTAGGATGTGACATTTGTTTTGCTGCTTCAGTGAACGTTTTTTCCCATATGAATTTTAAGTACTCGTTTGCGTTTTATCTTTTGATTTATGTTATTTTGTATTTTTATACAGCACTGAACGTTTGCTTCTCTATATGTTGTAAGCCGCCCTGAGTCCCCCACTGGGGAGATAGGGCCGGATAGAAATAAAGTCTCATTCATTCATTCATTCATTCATTGTCTGAATCCTGCTCTGAAATCTCTTGAACTATTAAGTCAAGAGCCTACATCACATGCATTACTAAGTATTGTCTTCTAGTCTGACTTGCTAATCATTACTTTGGTAATAATCAACACCTCTCTTCACATCTTACAAACTCAGGTTTGTAATAATGCCTTCTACCTTATCAATAATTATAGACTGAGATCGTTCATCAGTGACTAGGTTATGAATGTGTAACTAAGTATCATCTCCTGACCAGACATCTAGACCTACCTTAATAGCAGTCATCTGTTATGAGCAATGACATTGAAACAGAGATCCTGGTTCTGATTGTCATAGGCCCCTTCCACACATTATCTGCTTTGAACAAGGATATATGGCAGTGTGGACTCAGATCACCCACTTCAAAGCAGATATTGTGGGTTATTCTGCCATGATATTCTGGGTTATATGGCTGTGTGGAAGGGCCCTAAGTGTCACTCTTTGGGGAAAATTTTGTCCCAAACACTAACAGAACAGAATTTCATTGTTTGGAGTGGCTCCCTGGAGTTTAAGATAGGATTCAGGGGACATTTATGATCATAGTAATAGTGCTTGGATAGTGAATAGGTGTCACTCTAGCAGGAAGGTAATGGCACTCCATACAGTCATGCCGGCCACATGACCTTGGAGGTATCTACAGAAAATGCCGGCTCTTCAGCTTAGAAATGGAGATGAGCATTAACCCCCAGAGTTGGATACGACTGGACTTAATGTCAGGAAAAGATCTTTACCTTTACCTAAGATTTCTGTATCCATGAGGGATACCATCCTACCAGGACCACAGTTACCTGAAACTGCAGATATGCCCGAATGTTATTACCTTAATTCTAATCCCAGGATACCTTCTGTTGGAGGACCTGGCAATTATTAGAGAGGTATTCTCTCTGGGAGTTTACTAGCTCCTCCAACCCAATTTTATGGTAGTTTCTGAGGGAAGCAACTATAAAATTGATTAAAGAATCTAATAAACTCCTAAAGAGAGTATTTTTCCCCTGGCATGGGTCAGTGAAATTAAAGTTATAGAGGTCTTATTCTACAACTCAATGTGGTACACTTACAGATTAAACATTCTTGGTTATGAATGTTTAACTGCATTACAGGATGTCAGGTCTGTAAAAATTGTAAAAGCTTCAATCAAATAAATGAATCATAGTGCAAGTTAAATATGCTTTATCTGAAATACTTGGAACCAGGACTGTTTGGATTTCGCATTTCAAAATTTTATAATAGCTACATATTATAATTCATTATATATGTACATAATGAGACATCTAGATCATGTGCCCCAAGTCTAAACAAAAACTTTTTTCACATACACTTTTACACCTAGCCTAAAGGTAATTTTTTACAATACTTTTAATATTTTTGTGCATGTAAAAGTGTGTGTACATTGAACTATCAGAAAGCTGTCACTCCCTCAGCTGCTCATGTGGATGGTTTTGGAGGATTTTGGTATTCCAAAAAAGGGACGCTCAACCTGAAATAGTAATTGTGTATAATAGACAAATAGTGCCCCATATCATGGGCCAGCTAATGGGATTTAGGGCTCTGATGATGCTACTGGTCTGGTACAAAACAAGAGCCCCCACTGCCAAGCTCACTGAGCCAAAGAATGTGTGTCAGAAAGTGTCATGTATCATGTTCTGCAGTTGATGGTGGTTGGTGGTGGTAGGCCTGGCAGTTGGTGATGGAAGGGTTAATGTAAGTCTAAGTTCTAAAGGGCTGAGTAATCTGTAAGTAAGAGTTCATGGGTGAAAGCAATGAAGGGTGGAGGTATGCAAGAGATAGGTTGCAGCTGGGTGTTTCTGGATATAATGAGCTAGCCTTGGGACTGATTTTCGGGAGAAAAGTATTTGTCTTATTTTGGTGGTAGATGCTGCTGGTTTCCCCCCAGTTTGGTGGATTTTCGGTATCCTGACCTGTCTCCTGTACTCTTGGAACCCTAAAACCTTGAATCTCTGGACTGGCTTTTGACTACGGTATAGACTCTTGATCCCTGGACTTTGCTTATTGAACTCTTGGCATTTGACCACTGAACTGGATCTTTTGACTACGGTGTTATCTTGAACCTGCAACAGTGTTTGCTGTCAGTTTTTGTTTTATATGGCAGACCCCTGGCAATGTTACAAATAGACAGAGCAAGTGTATATAAGCATGAAGGAAGTTGGGAGTCTGGGGAAGGAAAACATGACTTCTCTTTCCAGTTGTTTTACTGGTATCATTTGACAAATATCTTTAATTAAAAAGGCATCCTGGCTGGCCCAAGACAATTTGCTGCCTGAAGCAAATCCCTTTCCTCTGCACATATACTGCACATGAGCTGGTATATAGCATCCAAAATCAGCCAAGTCAGGATACCTGAGGCAAAAAGTATTTCCCTATCCAGGCATTCAAAAAGGCAGTAAGTGGTATTACAGAGGAAAGATTAGAGGGAATCAGTGCTTCTTTTAGATCAGTGGTTATGAACCTGTGGGTCCCCAGATGTTTTGGCCTTCAACTCCCAGAAAGCCTAACAGCTGGTAAACTGACTGGGATTTCTGGGAGTTATAGGCCAAAACACATGGGGACCCACAGGTTGAGAACCACTGTTTTAGATTCTCTCAGGATATACTAAGCTTTCACCTTTCGCCACACTAAGAGAAGAGGATGGTTCCTTTTTTATTATCATAAGATTTAAACTACAATAACTCATACTGACCTGTGGATAAGTTGACCTGAGACAAGAGCATATATTTGACTAATGTTAAACAAAAGACACATCAAATAATAAATTGTAGCCCTTTCATGACCCTGAGATCCTACAGCCTGAAACAGCTGTCTTGTTCTATAAATAACCGTTTCCAATAATAATAATAATAATAATAATAATAATAATAATAATAATAATACACCAGAGAAAAAGACAAAAAGGAGAAAGCAGTGGGGTGTAAGACAGGAGTACAATCTAGAAGGCAGTATATTGACATTTAGTGGGAAAGATAAGAGAAAGCAGGAAGAAGACAGGCATGGGTACAATTGGCTGGGTGTGTTAAGTGTGCTGTGCTATGAAGCTACTTCCTTGAGTGACCTGGTACACAATGGTTTTGAATGCTTCTCTCCGTGGATACACAGGCATTCTGACATCACCTGGCCTGTCCTTATGACATCAGCACATCCTGTCTTGAGGTTCAGGCTTTTGAGTACTGGTGTGTACATAATTCCATCAGCAGTAAGATCGGCTTCACCCACCACCACCACCTGACTTGTCGAGCAACATGGGAGCTGCGCCAGCCACGGGTTAAATCCAACAATCGGTTCCTTATAATTATATGCATTGAAATACTTGCTGCCATTTTATCTTCATGACCAAAACAGCCCACTTCCCAAAGGACGTAGATTGTCTCCCAATCTACCTTTTTTCCTAGATCTAGACAACTTTGTGAAACAAACCGAGCATGGCATAAAAACTCTCAGCGGTGGGTTGAAAACCTAATTGTTGAAGTCTGCCAGATGATATTCTTAGTTTGAAAGTTAATTATCCAAGGGAAGAGAATTGACTTTAAAGAGAGAAAATAGAGATATTTTGTTTTGATTATTTGGACTTTTTAAACAGAGTTGAACCAAAGCTGATCCATTAATTTTGTAGTCTAAGAACAAAGCTGGAAAGACTCAGGTTACTTTTGTCATTGGTATAAAGTTTGGACATGTTTGCCCTTAGCAGATACTTTTTTGTCCATTTTATGATTAAAACAATTTTTAATGTATTACAAACTTGTTTCTTTCTATGAGTATTTTTGATCATGATTATCCCTATTCTTTTGATGTTCCGGCAGCACAGTACTAGAAAATTAGAATACCTTCGTTATTGTCACATTGAACTCCAGATCTGTCTTTTGCAGATCCTGGCCTGCCTCATGCATCCCCTTTGGGAACGGATACCTGCTCAGGTGGCTGAAGTTGGCAATGGCATTGCTGCTCTCTGACTGGCAGAAAGAAGAACAGGGCTGTGACCCTGCGAGTGGTTCCTTCTCAGTCTTCCTTCTTCTCCTCTGCTGCTGCCATGTTCTTCCATCTCTGGTTCTTGCTGGTCTTGCTCTGGACCCAATGATGGGCCTCACCTGGAGCATGCAGTTGTCAATGCTCTGGCCATTAATGTCCTCTCTCCACCTCAGTTTCTCAGTGCAGCTGCCATTTTGCCAAAGACCGAAGGGGCTAGCTCATAACTAGGATCTTGGGTCATTTCAATTTTTATAAAAACCAATAGGGGACAGTTCATATCTTGAAAAACTCATAAGTTGGTGCCCTCATATATTGAGGTTTCACTGTTCAACAAGCAAATAATTCATCCAAGCAATGAATGATCCCCTTGGTGGACTTTTTCTTTGTATGAGTAAGCATGGTAGAACAAGCAATCTTATTTGTTATTTAATGTTTCTGGCTGTTTGTTTATTTATTTCAAAAATGATGCATTACTATTCAAGATTAGTTTCAGAATGGAATATAAAAGCTAGCTTTTAAAAATAACTAGAGTGTCTTTTTGCATCAAGAGGAACTGAAAACTTCAACAACATCTCCAGATGTCTCCAGATCCCCTTCTGTCTCCAGATGTTGTTGAACAACGTCCATCAGCTATAGACTACACAGCTAATAGAGATCATGGGAGTTATGGTCCAACAACATCTGTTGGCCACATGTTGCCCGCTTCAAAGTGTGGCAGTAAAAGAAATGCAAAAATCTTTCACATTTCTACAAACTTACAAAAATTAACTGTAGTGTTATGTAATTCTTGCACCATTAGGTTAAAGAAGTTCACCAGCCTGTGTGAAAATAGAGGAAGTTAAAACCACTGCCTCTACCTGTTATCTTCTTCATTGTTACGTGTGCAGCTTCCTGCTTTTAAAATGGGCCCTTCAATAGAAAAGGAACTAAAGTAAGAAGACCGGCAAACAGCATTTTGTTCCAGGTAGATCTCATAAGAGAGGCATCGCTGAGTCTAAATCGCATCCCAGGATGACCGCAGTGAGTGTCAAATATTTTGCAATCAGTTTGCGTCCAGCTGTCCCCCTGGGTCCAGCCCTACCATTAGACAATTGTTGTGGTATGTCGGGGGAGGACAGGAAATTGTTATTTAAGATATTCCTATTATTGGGGGGGGGGGTTACTGCTACAGAAGGAGGGGAAATGTCTGTGGGATGTTTTGCATCAGGTGCCTGAAGAACTTGGCAAGCCTGATTGAGGATGCAAGGCAGCTCAGATGCAACTAAAATCTCAATACAACAACAACAACAACAAATTTAACTAATTGTCTTACTGAAGCTACAACCAAATTAAAAATAACAAAAAACTGACTAAAGCAGCTCAGAACATGCACTGGACTAGATATGGCCCTTGTGATCTCTTCTAACACTATGATTCTATGTTAAGTCCATTTTTCAACGGCCACTCAGTTGCCAAAAGCCTGCCTGAATAAAAAGGATGAAAATAGATGAAAGGAAGAATGCAGCTTCACTAATTGGTTGGGGGCAGGCATGTAGCCGGGGGGGGGGGGGGGGCTTGAGGGGCTTCAGCCCCCCCCCGAAATTCTCATGGTGGTTCGCGAAAAGGCCTTACTGGTGCATTATTTAAACTGTTATGTTTATTCATATCATGATCTGATCACCATACTCAATATATCCCAGATGCATGGGGGTATTGGGGTAATGATACAAAAGGTTTGCTAGGCTAGACCCTCTTTCACTCAGACTCAGCCCCCCCCCCCAAAAAACTCAGCCCCCCCCCAAAAAACCCCCAAAATCCTGGCTATGGGCCTGGTTGGGGAGTTTCACATCCCAAGGGCAGTTCTGAAAAATACAATCTCTTATCCTCATCAGATTTGGCTTTCATTCTAAACCAGTGGTTCTCAACCTGTGGGTCCCCAGATGTTTTGGCCTACAACTCCCAGAAATCCCAGCCAGTTTACCAGCTGTTAGGATTTCTGGGAGTTGAAGGCCAAAACATCTGGGGACCCACAGGTTGAGAACCTCTGCTCTATACCTTGATCGGCCTTGCGACTAACCAGGAGCACCTCTGTCTTGTCTGTAGAATCAATGCTTTTGGATACCACTTGAACTGTCATCTTTCAATGCAATGGGATCATGGCAGTCATGCTTTGACAAGGTCTTTTGTCTTCTTGTGCCTCACCGAACTGCAGCACCCAGGATTCTATAGCATTGAGTCATGGCAGTTAAAGTGGTATCAAGCTGCATTAATTTTACTGTGGGGATGTACTCTTCCTGCCTGAGAAGTAGTGTCATTCAAAGTAAGAGAATGGTTGTGAAGTCATTTCCTCATAACTAAAACCAGGTCTGGCTCTAAAATTAGGCAGAGTGAGTCAGTTACTTCAAGAGAACGGCAGTAGGTTGTTGGAGCTTTTGGTGTCATGTAATCTTTTTTGTGCCTCCTACCCCATAATACACTTCAAGGTATGAGGATCCTCTCTGGCATCAGGGTTGGGGCAATGTGCAACAGCTATTCTGGTCCTCTTTTGTACATAGAATGGAAAGTGGAGCACTTTGTGACTAACCTCAGAGAACCAAACGCCTTGGGTCTTCCACAGCTGAAATATCTTACACTGTGGTGAACACAGAATGGCTCCTTGATTCCTTTGCTCACTGAGGGCACACCTACACAGCAGAATTAATGCACTTTGTCCCTATGCTAACTGCCAAGCTCAGTGCTATGGAATCATAGAAACTAGGGTTTTACAAAGTCTTTAGTCTTCTCTGCCAAAGAGTGCAATGCCTTACCAAATTACAACTTCCAGGATTCCATAGTGTTGAGTCATGGCAGTTAAAGTGATGTCAAGCTGCATTAATTTTGCAGTGTAGATGTATTTATTGTCATTCTTGAAGGCCTGTATAGGAAGCTGTAATTAACTTCTACAGCTAGTCCCATGTTTTTTTCCCCCTTTTGTATATTCAGCATCACTGGAGAGAGAAAAAACCATGCTTCTAATGCTATTTTTGTGTTTTTCCTGTTTATTTCAGGTATTAAATAATGTCAATAATCATAGCTTGGGAATGTTGTATTACGTGCTGCTATGGGTGGTCATCTGCTTTTTCTGGTGGAAATGGAAAGCAGGAGAAACATTAAATAAGTTGCAACTTGAAGGGAAGTATGTCTTCATCACCGGCTGTGACTCTGGTTTTGGAAAGCTGGCGGCAAGGGCTTTGGACACGAAAGGGTTTCATGTTATTGCCGCCTGCCTGACAGAAAAGGGAGAAGAAGAACTAAAAGCAAGTGCCTCTGAGAAACTCCAAACCATGCTGCTGAATGTAACAGATGCAGAAAACGTTAAACTGGTGGCAGAAAAGGTTAAGACAGAAGTAGGAGAAAAGGGTAAGTGACAGAAGGCCTGGAATTACCCCTAAATCTAGTAAATGCAGAGTTGCATAGCCATATCTTGAAGGCTTCTGTGCCATTAAGAGATGTGCGGTCTCCATGCCAAGAGACAGATGAGATGTAATACTTTAAGGCTAAAGAGAAAGATGCTTCACTCCATAGATATTTTTTGCAGTTATCCAAATATAACAATTTAAATTGTTAAAGTCGCAGTTGTCTATAAGGATTTTATCCCCCTGATCAGGCGTCCCATCCCACAGTCATCTGCATTTGAATGTGCCGGCTTTAGGATAGGTGACCGGGACAGGATAGGGATTCTGCTAGTGTACCGACCACCCCGCTGCACTACAGTCTCCTTACCTGAGCTAGCAGGAGTGGTCTCGGACATGGCATTGAGCTCCCAACGGCTTCTAGTCCTGGGAGATTTCAATGTCCATGCCGAGGCCTCCCTCTCCGGTGCGGCTCAGGACTTCATGGCCGCCATGGCAACCATGGGCCTGTCCCAATTAATATCTGGTCCCACCCATAGTGCCGGGCACACATTGGATTTGGTATTTTCCCAAGGATGGGATGGGGGTGACGGGGTGGAGGAGCTGACCATCGCTCCTTTGCCATGGACCGATCACCACTTGATCAGGTTTAGACTAACTGCGCCTCCCAACCTTCGCAGGGGTGGTGGACCCATTAGAATGGTCCGCCCCAGGAGGCTTATGGATCCAAATGGCTTCCTGATGGCTCTTGGGGATTCTCCCACCTCCTTGGCCAGTGATTCTGTCGATGTCCTGGTCTCTCACTGGAACAGTGAGTTGACCAGGGCCATTGATACAATCGCTCCGGAACGCCCCCTCTCGAGCAGCCGAGCTAAACCAGCCCCTTGGTTTACTAAGGAGCTGGCAGCGATGAAGCGAGAGAAGAGGAGGCTAGAGTGCGTGTGGCGCCGGAACCCCACCAATCCAGCTCAAACACTTCTGAATACCTTTTTAAGGTCCTACGAGGTGGCAATAGCGGCGGCACAGAAAACGTTTCTGGCAGCCAATATTGCATCTGCGAAGAATCGTCCAGCGGAGCTCTTCCGAGTTGTCAGGGGTCTGTTACATCCGCCAAAAAGCGAGGCCTCAGACAACTCGGTGGCTCGCTGTGAAGCATTTGCTCGATTCTTCGCGGATAAAATTGAGCGGATTCGGTCAGGTTTTGACGTCATGTTAACGGCGGTCTCTGGGGATGTGACGAGAGCATCTGCTTGTCCGGTTTTGTTGGATTCGTTTCAATTGGTTCAGCTTGAGGATGTGGACAGGATCCTTGGAGAGGTGCGACCCACCACATGCATCCTAGACCCCTGTCCATCCTGGCTGATCAAGGAAGCCAGAGGGGGTTTGGCAGAGTGGGTAAAGGTGATGGTCAACACCTCCTTACAGGAAGGAAAATTTCCAGCGAGCTTAAAACAAGCTGTTATAAAACCGCTGTTGAAGAAACCATCACTGGACCCCACTCAATTTGACAACTTTCGGCCAGTTTCCAATCTCCCCTATTTGGGCAAAGTCATGGAACGTGTGGTGGCGACTCAACTCCAGGGGTTTCTGGTAGACACTGATTATCTAGATCCGGCACAGTCTGGCTTTAGGCCGGGACATGGTACTGAGACAGCTTTGGTCGCCTTGGTAGATGATCTTCACCGGGAAATGGACAGGGGGAGTGTGTCCCTGTTGGTTTTGCTGGATCTCTCAGCGGCCTTCGATACCGTCGATCACGGTATCCTTCTGGGGCGCCTCAAGGATATGGGGCTCGGGGGCACTGCCTTGCAGTGGCTCCGATCCTTTCTTGAGGGACGGTCCCAGAAGGTGTTATTGGGTGACACCTGTTCGGCCCCACAACCGTTGTTGTGTGGAGTCCCACAGGGTTCAATCTTGTCCCCGATGTTATTTAACATCTACATGAAGCCGCTGGGGGAGATCATTCGGAGTTTCGGAATGAGATGTTATCTCTACGCAGATGATGTCCAAATCTGTCACTCCTTTCCACCTTTCACCAAGGAGGCTGTCCAGGCCTTGAATCGGTGCTTGGCTGCTGTGTCGGACTGGATGAGAGCTAACAAATTGAAATTGAATCCAGACAAGACAGAGGTCCTACTGGTCAGTCGTAAGGCCGAACAGGGCATAGGGTTACAGCCTGTGTTAGATGGGGTTACACTCCCCTGAAGACGCAGGTTCGCAGCTTGGGAGTGATCCTGGACTCATCGCTGAGCCTGGAACCCCAGGTCTCGGCGGTGGCCGGGAGAGCTTTTGCACAATTAAAACTTGTGCGCCAGCTGCGCCCGTACCTTGGGAAGTCGGATCTGGCCACGGTGGTCCACGCTCTTGTTACATCCCGATTAGATTACTGCAACGCACTCTACGTGGGGTTGCCTTTGAAGACTGCTCGGAAACTCCAACTAGTCCAGCGAGAGGCAGCCAGATTGCTCACGGGGCGTCATACAGGGAGCATACCACCCCCCTGTTATGTCAGCTCCACTGGCTGCCGATCCAGTTCCGAGCACAATTCAAGGTGCTGGTTTTGACCTATAAAACCCTACACGGTTCCGGCCCAGTGTATCTGTCCGAACGGATCTCCCTCTATGTCCCACCCCGGAGCCTAAGATCTTCTGGAGAGGTCCTGCTCTCGACCCCGCCTCTATCACAGGTGAGATTGGCGGGGACGAGAAGCAGGGCCTTTTCGGTGGTGGCCCCCCACCTGTGGAATTCACTCCCCGGGGAAATTAGATCTGCAACATCGCTCCTTTCTTTTAGGAAAAAACTAAAAACATGGATCTGGGACCAGGCATTTGGGCAGGCGGGCAAATAAAGAAAGAACTTTATTGATGGCTAGGAAATGACTAACGGACTGGACATGAGGAACTCTGGAAACGAAACGCTGATTATAAGAATGATCTTGATGATATTTTATATAATGTGTTATGCACCGGTTGTTGATGTTTTAACTGTGTTGATCGTTTAATTACATTTTGTATATTGTTTTTATATTTTTGTATACTATGTATTACTATGTATAGGCATCGAATTCTGCCTTCTTTGTAAGCCGCCCTGAGTCCCCCTCCGGGGGTTGAGAAGGGCGGGGTAAAAGTACCAGAAATAAATAAATAAATAAAATAAATTACTTTTAAAGTATGGAAAGCCCATTTACTTTTAAATGAGCATTATCACAGTAACTATATACATTTTGCACCCGAGCTGTAACTGTAACTAATTACTTTAAAAAATAAATTTCATTTACCACAATCTGTAATTCAGGCAACTAGGAATCACTTCTGAGTTATATTTAACTACATGCTTAAACGTCTAAGCTAGAAGTCAAGGAAGAACAGGATAGTGATAAAACCCAAGAGACTACCTTAAAAAGAGAGAGATCAAGGAGCCTGTGTGTAAGGCCAGTGCATTTGATTTCATTCATATCAGAGTAATCTGCTACTTCAAGTTTATCCAAGGTATTATATTATATTATTCCTCCCTTTCTTTGCTTTTCTCTTGATCTTCAGAGAAAGGAAACATCAAGGAGATGACAAAATGGTGGGATACAGTCTGAGGCTACAAGCTCTAAGCAAACCTATAGGGAGTGAGACCCATTAGACACAGGAGGGAATATTTTGGAGTAGGCATGCCTATCATTGCACTGTGAGAGTAACCTAATAAGGCTGATTGAAAAGTGAGAGTTCATGGTCAATAACAAAACATATCAACAATTAGATACAGGGTCCTAGCGTTGCAACTAAGGTTTCAAATCTTTGCTTGTTTTAGGAATGCACTATCTCAATTTTGTTATTGATGCCTGACTTTCACTTTTCAACCATGCGATTTTAATCTCAACTTTATGTTTTTAATAATACCTGTTTTTATGGGAAGTTTCTGACTTCTGTTAGCTACTTTGGATTTCAATAAAAGGAAGGGTATAAATAATCAGGAGATGGAGGAATTGCTTGCCACTAAAACAATTCCTTGCACAAAAACTCCCAGGTTTCAGGGTACAGTCCCAAATGATGAAAAATCTCTTACTGGTTAGGCATTTTCTCAATGGGTTGCCTTTCTATCTCAAATTATCCTTTATTGTCAAGGTTGAGAAAATCTAAGAACATTCTTCGCATCCCTAGTTGCAGCTGAGTATTTCTACCTCCTAACCATTCCCCTCAGAGCCTTGATTGAGAGGGCCAATGTCCACTCTGGACCTAAAGGTGTGACTCTGTAAGATGGGTGACGCTGAAAGATGTAAACCTCAAATGAATTGTCCAGCACCTTCAGATTTTGGTGTCCTCGGGTTTCTTCCAAACATTGATATAACTGATTGTTCCTACAAATATGCATTCTCCTCTCCATGGAAACAGCTCTTTTACAAATCCTCCAATGTATCCAACCATAACTCTATATCATAGGGACTGGGATGGGGAGTGAAACATGTTCTTCTACTCCACCCCTTTTGTGCCGGTGTAACCAGATTGGGATAACTGTTGACAGTTTGCTCATAGACAGCAGGTTGCCTGACCAGTTCACCTGCCATATGTCAGCTTGTCTCCTCAGCGTGAGTAAGATGATGACAGGCCCATTTACTTTGAGCCATCAGCTGCTGTCATTCAGCAGCAAATGCTGTAAGTAAAATGACTATAGTCCCCAAGGCTCTTATTTTCTTCTTATGCAGGTTTCACCTATCTTACAACACTATTACTCCACTTTAACTGTCATGACAACATTGTATGAAATGCTGGAAGGGGCATATAGCATTCTCAGCCAGAGAAGTCTTGGGCCTCACTGAACTACAAACTCCAGATATTGCCATGGCAGTGGAATAATCATGCTATGACAGTGTAGTCTGATAGGGTCCCTAGACACAGTTTACTTGGAAATAAAGCTCTCTGAATGCAGGATAATTGCTCGGAACTCATAGTGTGGAATTATGAATAATTTTGGTAGTCTTGTAGTGTGTAGAAACACTTATTCCACTGGAGTTGTCATGGTGCTGTGTGTTTCTTTGCCCTCATAATATATCATGGTAGCTGCTGTTGGAAATTGAGAAATGTCCAGTATATTTGATACCGAATCAGGGATAGGAATCCTGCTGTCTTTCAGATACCAGCAGTAGCTACTGGTGAGGAGAGCCGGAAGCTGCAGCTCAACATCATCTGAAAGGCTGCATGTTTCTCCTTTTCCCCATGCTATCTGTTATAGGGTGGGAAAGAAATAAGCACAGAAGTGCCATTTAGGGTTCCCATTGTGTACCAATCCTAACATTTCGTTAGTGGGACTGAGAAGACAGTCTCTCCCTAGGATCTCAGGGCCTGGTCAGGTTGGTACCAAGAGATACAATCTGCCAGATAGCCTGGACCTGAGCCATAAAGAGCTTTCCAAGGTGCTGAACCCTAATTTCTCACCCCACTTCGCAGAATATGTTCAGCACTGTGGATAGCTCCTTTAGAATTCAGAATATAGTCGAGTACAACCATTCATTCCACTAAAAAGAAAACCATGAAGTCATCACTGATTGCCAGAAAATGGACACACAACCCTCCAGCTCCCCAAAATTAAATTGCTCAACTTTTGCTTTTTCTAGGAAATGAGCCCAGAGGTCATTGTCTCATCCTTCAGTCTCAGGTGCCTTTTAACTGCTTGAGAGCAGGAATGATTATTTTCCTCATTTCAAAACCTTTTAGTTAAATTAATTCACATTCTGCTGTTGGATTTGATTTTTCATTTGTATTTCAAATAATTGCCACAGTGTTATAATATTTTGTAGTCTGTTTAAAGCTACAAAGGGGCCTTATGCTAAGATGAAATGCAGGATACAGATTAAATTGTAGCTTTACTCATGAAGAGTGAGCCATTACTCTGAAAGAGCCATTGCCAGCTAATTGCCATATTTAGAGCGCTCACATCACCTTGTAGTACAATGCATTCCATCAGCTGCAATTCCAACGCATTGAGCAGCAGGTTGTCAAATGATTAAACGTCAAGTGATTCTATCAGCTCTCATGCACACAGAGGGAGGAAACTGATTTTTTGAAGGGCACTCAATTCCAAACCCCTACCTAATGCAGAGTTTGAAGTGTGGGGTGCAATTATAACAGCATAAGTTAGGAAAAAATGCTTTTGCGGGCAACAATTTCCATTAAAAAAAATCTTGCTGGCCACTGGCTCTGTCTGCCTAGCAATCATGGCAAATAAACACCCAACCTCTGCTTTAAGTATCATATATAGTCGAGTATAATCTGATATTTCTTAGGAAATATGGCACTGCTTGACATTTTGGTCTCTTTTTGACATTTTCTCTTTCAGTTCAGACAATAACTGTTTCTTAAAGTTATATCTACTGATTCTACTACTGCCTCCTGGATCAACAAAAACCAATTCTGCCCCATCCTTTGCATACTGGCTCTTCTAATAGTTGAAATCCAGTGTCATGCCTCCCTTTTCATTTTTTCTTTTCAGCCATTCCTGGAAGGATTTTATTCCCAGTCCCCTCATTCTCCCAATCACAGTTTGCTGTATATAGTCCAGTTTGTCAACATCCTTCCTCAGTTCCTCTCAAAGCAAGTGCTCAGAGTGATTATGAATTGCTCATCAACCAGTATTTCTCAGTTATGGCTGTTTTGATCTTCCTGTTTTGGGTTGTTCTTGTTATCATGTTCTCTTCGTTGCTAAAATAATTCTAATTTCAAATTTTAAAATGGAATTTGTCCCCAAAGACGAGCTTTGTTTCCACTGACAACAACTGATCTTTTTAAAAAAAACAAACAAACAAACAAGCTTTATTTCTTTGCAGGTTTGTGGGGCCTGATCAATAATGCAGGAATCATGGGACCATCAGCGCCCACTGACTGGTTGAAGATTGAGCACTACAAAGCACCAATTGAAGTTAATTTAATCGGTCTCATAAATGTTACACTACACTTCCTTCCATTGGTGAAGAAAGCCAAGGGAAGAATAATAAATGTAACCAGTGTTGGTGGTGTTGTAGCAATATGTTCAGGTGGTTATTGCCCATCCAAATTTGGGGCAGAAGCATTCACTGACAGCTTAAGGTAAATGATGATTTTTTTTATTGTATTCATAAGGATTATTCCAAATTGAGTATGAGAACAGTCTATGCACAAGAACCAATGGGATGCAGTATAATCGTTTCTTTAGTACAGATTCTATAGCTATCCAGCATTCATATTTTACCTATACAAACTCACAACAGTTTGATACCATTTTAACTGTCATAGTTCAAGGTTCAAACCTGAGAAATACTGGAATTTGCCAGTATTAATAGAGTCATTTGGCTCGACAATAGTGGCTCATATAGATCTTTAAGCAAATAACAAATGAAAAACGTCAGGAGAAATGCCTCTAGAACATAGCCATATAGCCCGAAAAAACCCACAAGAACTGAGTGATTCCGGCCATGAAAGCCTTTGACAATACATTGAAAAATGTTGATCTTACAGGCAGATATTGTCTCTTCAGCAGAGGGAGTATAGGTGTGCTGCTTATATATTAATACATAATAATAAAACTTTATTTATATTCTGCCCTATCTCCCCAAGGGAACTCAGGGTGCAACATACAACAGCAAGCATTCAATGCCTATGTAAAGCAAGCAAACACTGCCATAAAATCCCAGAAAAAACCCACATATGTAAATAACATTGAAACCTAACCTCAAATTAGAGCCTAACATCAGTAAATTAAACCTAACATCAATAAATTAAACTATACGTAGTCAGAGAAAATTATATCCAAAATTATAAACTCTAAACAAAAGTGTTTTGTTGTAACTGCATATGTATTTGTATATGTATTTCAAAAGTGTTTCTTAATGACACAGCATTCTCTAGATTGCTTTCTTTGCTTATGTTGCAAGACTTTGTTTTTGAGTTTACAAGAAATCAATAATAGGGAGGGGACACAAGAGAGGCCAGTACTTGTTGAAATATGCTATTCCAGCCAATATTTTTCCTTCTCTCCTGAATCAGTCCAAAAGTGGCATGTCCTTCAACAACACGATCAAATTTTGAGTGACTGTGCTAACCATATGAACTGTGCACAATGGAAGGGACTATTAAGTCATTCCCATAAATGAAAGCAACATGACGTGGTTGCACAGAAAGTCTGCTTGTATATTACTCCATGTGAATATATATATATATATATATTTAAAAGCTCAGTTTTTTATTTTGCTATTTCTCCAAAGAGTCTGGAGCAAAATACATAGTCCTCTTTCTTCCATTTGATCCCCATACTTTATGAGCATTGCTTGTGGAAGCTTCTATCTCAGTAGAAATGTAAGTCCATGCTGGGTTTTACTCAAAGCTTTCAAGGAACTATCCACGGCGTTGAACCTATTTGGGGGCTGTTTCAGCACTTTGCACAGTTCTATTAATAACTGAATTAAAACCCAAAGTGGATTCACAATCCCTCTGATACAGAAGCTACCAGCTCTCTCTGGTTATGTGGTTAGTCTCATTAATAGTGACTAGCATCAAAGATCACCTTCCGTGTCTGAATGGGAATTTGAATCCAGATCCTCTTATTCCAAGTCCAGCACTTCAAAGTTCTGCATTTTACTAGTGTTTTGCATTGTGTGGGCAAAATTGTAGATGTGGTTTCTGTTTTAAAATCTATACAAAATGGATTGTTGAAATATTGAATTTACATTTTAACTGTTTTTCAGGCATGACATGAAGCCCTTTGGAGTTAAGGTGTCTTGCATTGAGCCTGGCCTGTTCAATACAGGGCTCTCTGACAGGGTCAGAGTCGTAAAAGAAAAGCGAGCCATTTGGAATACTCTCTCTTCTGATATCCAAAAGCAGTATGGAGAAAGTTATTTGAGGGATGGTACGGCATGCTTTGATTTGTTCAGTATTGGTGGGTTGGTTTATTTCACATAGTGGTAGATAGATCATCATTACAGCCAGAGGAGTCTAGAATGGTCAGAAAGAGTGATGCCATGGAAGTTGGCCCAAACTCAGCTCAAAAATGAGCTTTCAGTTTCCTGAAAGAGAACCTAAAAAGAAGTGGACATTGATTTAGGATCCCAGAAATAATTCATTAACATTAATTTGCTGTCTCGAATTCAGCAACATCTGTTTTCGTAAACAATATAATGTTAATACATTAGTACTGGCATTAATGTCATTAGACCAAGCTTTAGATTGATGTCTTCATACCAATCTGTATGCCAGTTGGAATCAATATATTTATTCATATTAGTATCTGGGCCAGTAAAAGTTCCCTACTTCTTTTCTTCCCATCCCTGCTAGTCCTCAAACTGCCCTTTCCATTTTTCCCTTAGTGGTGCTGGGCAACCACTAGAGAGACGGAAGATGCTTCAAAAATCTCACAGTATTGTACAGTCCAGTGGGAATAAAAAAAATCAACTCTTATGTCCCAACTCTCATCAGGATAATATAGAGAAAGCCAAAGGAAGGAGGAGATACAGCATTACCACTTATCTGTGGGCCATATGTTCCTAAACAGGAAACAATGGATAACAGCAAATTGTATTGAAAAAACTATTTCCACCATAAATTACCATAAACTCGCAAAGAGTATATATCTTGGTGAATGTGGGAAAGTGAAACCACAGATACCAGTCCCTGTACAGATACCAGAGGTTGTACACCACTCGGCTGTTACACCAGCTCCACTGGCTGCCGATTAGCTTCCGAGCACAATTCAAAGTGCTGGTGTTAACCTATAAAGCCCTAAACAACTCCGGCCCTGTTTACCTCTCCGAACGTATTCTCCCCTATGAACCATCAAGATTATTAAGATCATCTGGAGAGGCCCTGCTCTCGGTCCCACCGGCCTCGCAGGCGCGTCTGGTGGGGACGAGGGACAGGGCCTTCTCGGTAGTGGCCCCTCAACTCTGGAACTCTCTCCCACTGGAGATCAGAACTGCCCCTTCTATCCTGACATTCAGAAAACAGCTGAAGACGTGTCTATGGAGACAGGCATTTGACGAGTGAGCCAGATATGGATGGAGGATGATGAACAATGAGTGACGACTGACCATTGTAGTTATTGAATATAATTGTTGTTTTAATGTTTTATTGTAAAATGAATTATTATGTTTTTATGAACTGTATGTGATATTATGGTTGGAAACCAGCCTGAGTCCCTCAAGAGAGGTGAGAAGGTCGGTATATAAAACTTTTAAATAAATAAATATAAATAAATAAATACTGTACTGCTACTTCCATGTAGTATAAATGATCTTTGTATACATAATCTTTTCACAGTCCACATTGATTTTTCTCAACCCTACTCCTACACACCAATAGAAATTATGAGGAAAGGTATAAGTAAATTTGCCAGGTTGTGATAGTCAAAGTTGGAATAAGATGTTTGGGATCCCTGACTCAGTTCTTCAAATGGGATCTCATTTGCGCATGTATGTTAACTATTCCATGAGTAGCGACCTGAAAATTAGATATTAAAATAAATGACAACTCAAAAATCTTTGTGTATGAACCCATTTTCAAGTCTGCAACTACATTGAGACTAACAGCTTCATAATAACAATAACAGTAACAATAATAATAACTTTTCTCAAAGGGATTAGGGGCAGATTACATATGGAACAATGTGCCTAAAACAACACATAAAACAAAAAATTAAGCTCAAAACAGCACCCAATAACTTATTGTGAGAACTGTAGTAAAACATGGCCAACTGTAATCAGGAACAAGGGAACAGGACAGAGCAAGTTGTAGCTAATGAACTATGGCATGGGATGAAAGTGCAGTGCTGTGGCATTACTTGTGGACCACTGGGGCTAGGCAATCTCAAAGGCTTGTCCAAACATCCAAGTCTTGAGCCCCTGTTGTTTTACTCAAGTTGCTCATAATAGAAGAATTCCAGATTCAGGATGTATCTGAAGTAAACAAAAATAGAACTCAAGCTTCATCTTTTCCCATTAGTGTTGTCCCCAAACCTATGAGGGGCCTGGAGATATTGTACAACCAAACTATTGCTAATCCAACCCTGCTAGTGCCATTGTTTTTACACAACACGCCTTATAATGTCACCATTTGTATTATCCTTTAAAATTAGGAGTAAATATTCAACAATTCAATAGATAATGAATGTAATGTAATAAATTGGATTAATTTAACAGATGTTGAATGAAGAGAATTGAGTTATCTTATTATTCATTATTATTATTAAACTTTATTTGTACCCCGCTACCATCTCCCCAAGGAACTCGGTGCGGCTTACATGCGGCCGAGCCCACAATACAACAATAAAATAATAGCAACAGTAATACAACAATAAATAAAGCTCATAAACAGAAAATAGCAATAAACATTAACAATAACACAGTGATGTTTAAAAACCTATGGCAGGGCCAAATGTACTAGTTAAAAATTTAAAAAATAATGCTTATGGCATCTCTTTAATTCTCTCCAATCCTTCCTTCCACAGATGCAGTGAAGAAAGAACAGCTGGTTAAGATGTGTGAGAATGCAGATCCTACTCTGGTTGTGAGCTGTATGGAACATGCTTTAATGAGTAAACATCCACAGGCACGATATACTGTAGGCACGGATGCAAAGTGGCTTTGGCTCCCTCTCTCACTCATGCCAACCTTTGTGCAGGATTATGTACTCATGAAGAACAAAGTTAAGCTAGCTGATCCAAATGCAGGCTAAAATCCCTTTGTTTGTTTTCATCAAGTCTCAACTGGTTGGTTCAAGATAAGAACTGGACATATCTTGGCTGCTCCTGTTTGTCTAGCCACAACCTATAAGCACCCATTTGTGCCTTAGATGCTGTGCATATTTAAACAATGAAGATAAAATACACCAGTGTTCACAGGTGAGCAAGTATCCAGTGGTCTTGGCAATAATCTCTTATTGGGTCTTGTTTGTATTAATATTACTTCTCCTAGGGACTTTGTACCAAGGGTAAAAGTGGATGTATGCATACACTAACATTTGTCAACTTGGATATATCTTAGTCAGTTAATTCATATTGATTGAATGCTATCAGAAGTCTGTCAGACCACAGTCGGGCATTTTAAATAATGCAACATTAATGAAGCGGCAAGCCAGTAATTGTAAATAGTGCTCCCAGCTAGAAGAAAACGGTCTATGGAAGCCATACCCCATGGCAAATATGACTGACCAAGAATTCATTGACACTGTAGAATTAATTTTGACACTACTTTAACTGTCATGGCTCAATGCTATGGAACCCTAGAGTTTTTAGTTTGGCAAAGCACCAGCACTCTTTGGCAGAGAAAGCTGAAGACCCTATAAAACTACAACTCCCATGATTCCATAGTATTTGGCCATGGCAGTTAGTACTGTCAAACTCATCAATGGCATCCTGATTCCTAGGCACTTAGACCTTTTGGTTACCAACATCCTGGTAATGAATGCCTCTGGTCACATGCAAACCAATCAAAGAAATAATCTACCAATAATGTTTTCACAAAGATACATGGTCTACCATTTTTCTGCTGAAGACAATGATCCCTCGTGTATTTGGAACCATAGAATCTGATTAGTTAGAACTAACTAGAAAAGACTAATCGAATCAGAAGGTGAATGGTCAGTCAACACATAGGAACCTGTTCTAGTGGGGACTAAGAATAGGATTTCAGTTTATGGGAGATCATTGCCCAGTGGAAGAGCACATACTTTGCAAGCAATTCATTAAGTATCCATTTAAAAACCTCAGACCAGGAGTGTCAAACTCATTTTCATATAGGGCCACATCAGCCTTATAGTGGTCTTCAAAAGGCTTTGAATCCGTGGATATAGAATCCATGGATAAACAAAGCCAACTATAATTATTTTACATTGTGGTTGGTGCTCTTTACTTTTTACCCAGTTTGGTTCTCCAGATGTTATTGAATGACATAACTCCTATCACTTTTTATCATCTGCCATTTGGCCTGGGGATAATGGGAATTGAAATACAACAGCACTTGTGGGGCTGAGGTTGGACAAAGGCTAAAGGACATTATAAAGTCAGACATCATATCCACAAGCTTTGCGTCTAAATCCATACTCCTTCATCCTGACTAAACAGAACAAATTGTAGCTTTCCAGATGTTACTGTATCACAACTCCCTTCAGTCTAGTCATGATGTCTAATGATGAGGAATACAGGAGTTGTAATCCAGCATCCAGAGAGCCACATAAAATGACATGGCAGGCCTTGTGTTTGACGCATGTATTTCAGATGATGTCTTCTTGGGACCCTGAAGAGCCACTGCTAGTCAGAGCAAGCAGCCTTGGGCTATAGTAGGCATGGGCAAACTTCGGCCCTCCAGGTCTTTTGGACTTCAACTCCCACAATTCCTAACAGCTTACCGGCTGTTAGGAATTGTGGGAGTTGAAGTCCAAAAGACCTGGAGGGCTAAAATTTGCCCATGCCTGGGCTATACAGACAGTTACTTTCAGAAGCCCTTGGTAGGTGGTTCTATTGGAAAGGGTGAAGTCCAAAGCTCTCTGGAAAAAGAAGAAATGGATAGTGACCCTGTGTGTGACCCCTGCTGGATATCTTTGTTTCTGCATCTCCTGTGGACATCATCTGAAAGACAAGAGCTCCCACTTTCACAAGGATGTGCTTGACTTCATGGCATGTTGGACCATGATTCATAAATAGGCAGTCAGTTGACAGTATGTGGTGGGTCAGTTGACCAGCAACTGACATAACAGCAACCACATTTACTGTGCAATAACACAAAGGGCATCTGGACAAAAGAGTGGCATGGAACAGCAATATGTAGGATGAACTTTGTCATCATGCAGTGATATCACAATAAGAAGGACAAAATGCCTTTTTGCCCTGATTATCATTTTCTACCTGACTCTTACCTCTGCTGGTTCACCAGAAGGCATTTTAAAAAGAAAAGAAAAAACAATAGAAGAGATAAAGATTCTGGTGCAAGATAACCAGGCATTCTCAGTTCCTCAAGTCTTCAATCTAACTTTCAATAAAACAAGAAACAAAGCATTCTAGGTGCTGAACTATAATTTACAAGCCAGTTTCTCCTGGCAAATAACATTTAGTAGATGCCCGACCTCAAAAAATACAACTTTAAAGGGCTACATTTCACCAGCTGTGGGACAATGTTCAAGATTGTGTGGGATTTCTGAAGGTTTTTCCAGAGAAGGCAGTAGAGAGGAGGTTTTGAGGGAGGAGGTTTCTCCAACCTCTAATTCCAGGCAAGATCTGGGAATGCCACCAGAAAGGAACATTTACTGGTCCCCATTGCTATTGTCTCTGGTAGCACTCCTCAAAATATCCGTTGCATTTTTTCATGCATAAACCATGCATTGTGTGTTAGAAATGATAACTGTATTGTATTTTAATATGATCTCCTTCTGTGGTGGAGACCAGTGCATCACAAGCTATCTGAAGTGAGGAACTCATAACTTTATTTCCTCATTGTGTCAGGGAGCAGCACCATATTTATTCCATTTGGCTGCTTTTATTTTTCTTTCCTGGAAACACTCCAGGTCGATGGCTTGTGGAGTGGCATTTTGAACTGCACAGATAGAAATGATAAACTGCTCAGTAGAAGCCCAGCCATGTTTCTCCTCAGGAAGTGATATTTTGCTATCTGCTATCTTACATTTCAATGAACTGAAGGGCATTCACAAACCAAATACTTGCAGGTTGACATGCTAACATGCTTGAAAACACCAGGAACTTATAGGTAATGCAGCATTATTGCTATTGTGTTGGAAAGGGGCATGTTAATCCTGTTAATATTTCTACCTCCATTCAGGCCTGGCAAAGGCTCAGAATCTGTATTTGTCTTTTGTTCCCTTTTGATCAGGGCTTTACAGTTGACAGGCTGTTTAGGCCTGACTGATCCTTTTTTATTTTCCTTCCTGGGTTTAGAGATGGAAGGATTTTGACTGTTGTTTGAATGAGTATGTTTTGTTTTGGTTTATTTTTGTTGTATTTATAGCTTTCTATCAATTTGGATAAAAAGTTGTGTACATCTGTAAGTATGCATATACATATACAGTGTACAGGGAAAGGAGGGGTGTTTATTTGTTTTTTACTTAAATGTGATTTCTCCTCCAATGTGTCCATACCATAAATATTAATAGGGGGAGGGATGGAAATGGGTATCTAGGCAAGCCAGCTGGCTGGCATCTTAAAGAGAATTATACATGTCACTGTTTCAGTATAAAAAGTGAGACAGGAGGAAGGAAGTAACCTTGAGATACGCTGGTTCTAGTATAGGTTTCTGTGGACTGAATCCTTTGACTTCGGATCACCATAAGTTGGAAATGACTTGAAGGCACAGAAAAACAATTAGATAATCTTGAATTGAGGCATTCATGGTTTCCCTCATTCATCTAATACGAGAAGGAAGGAAGACCATACCAGTATTTAAAACTTGCATTTTGACTCATTGTCATGGTGCATGCCAGTTATCCTTGAAAAAGACTTTTCTAAAAGAATCTGCTTTGGGAATTGGACTTCAAACATCTGTCGTGGTCATGGAGATTCCAGACAACACATAATACAAGAAATTGGTGACAGTGCCTCCTAGTTTTTCATTTCCTAAAAGTATTAATTAGAGGGAAGGATGTTGTATGTTTTCCTTATATAGCTAGCAGCAGTCCTCAAAAAAGGGAATTTGCACCTGGGAAATCAGCAAGTGGGTGGGTGGATGTGCTTTAAATTCCTCTACACAGTCTACAGTATCAGTCTATCATCCCTCTGATCCCATTTTAGGATGGGGAAGGAATATGGAGATCTATGCACACTTTCCCCAAGTTTTAATGTATCACTTAATATTATCATACATATAGTTATACATTTCTATTGTTGTTGTTGTTACTATTACTATTATTGTTATTATTTCTAATACCCAGTGTCTATGTTTGTAGTTTGTATTTCTGTTGAATAAACATCTTGTTTGACTAAATATTTTAAATTTTGCCTGGGCTCATTCTGCAAATATTGACCTAAAACACAGATTGGATAGGAACTTTTAAAGAGATTGGAATGGAGCTTGCAGCAGATCTCATTCGAGTTCACAAGCTAAGCATCATTGGGCCTGGTTAGTCCTTGAATTGAAAACAACCACCAAGGAATATCAGAGATCTTCAAGTGAACCTAGAAGAAGTTCTTGGAGTTCATGCCACAGTTGCCAATACTGAATTAGGTGGACTAAGAATCTGACTCAGAATAAGATAGCTTCTTATGTTGCTGTCCTTGGCAACATAAGAATCCCCTTTGATCTTAAAATATGGGCTCCTGTTTTTGAGCAAAGTTTAAGGAAGTTAGATAACCCAATACAAAGTGCATGTGCATGTATGGATGTGTGCACATGGGTGTGTGGGTGTGTGTATTCTTTCACCAGTTATGACATTGTTCTGGTATATGTTAGTCACCACCCTCATTTAAATTGCTGTCAGATGGTGACTGTAGTTTCATTGAATTGCACAAAGCTGTGGGCGTCATCCAGTTGAAGACTAGTAGGTCACTTCAGGACTAACTAGAGTGAAAACAGTATTGATCCTACCAGAATCAAATTGTTCTTGCAGTTTCTTCATATTTTCCTCTATGCCAGTTGAATGGCTGTGTTTATAAATACTTAATCCCAAACAACTGTGGGATTAACCCAAAATCTGCCTTTCATGAACAGGAAATCCTTTCCAAATTTGTTAGTTTTCTGATCCAATAGAAGGGCCCTGCTGGTGCCATGGAACTAACGAGGTTGCCCTCAAAACTATTATGGAAAGTTGGGGACATCCTCCCACCCTATCCCAGGAATGGTGGTGAAGGTGTGTAACTGGAGGCTGTTTTGAAAGGATGTCGGTGAATATCACCTTCTCCCTTTTCCTCTGACAAGAGACCCTCTAAGGATCTCATACAAGAAGTTCCAAAAGCCAGAGGACAGCGGGGGAAACAGTGGAGCAGCATTCCACTTCATCCCCTTACCATCGTGGGCTGCCATCCCATGACATTTCCCCGCTGTCCCCGGCTTCTTATCTGTGTGCTACTGGCACGCTGCTGGCACGGAGCCCCACTAGAAGTAGCTCTGTGTCATTTGATGGGGTCCAGTGGTCTCTATTCCAGCAGAATGCTGGCAGCGCACAGAGGCGGGAAAAACCACCCATCTGATGAGGTCCTAAGTGAGTGGAACTCTGCCAGAAATTGTTCTCGTTCCTACCAGAAAAGAAGCAGGATTTAACCCTGTAACCAATATATATATACATTTCCCAAAGCTTTGGACACCCAGCTAGCCATGGCAGCACCAGAGTCCGATTTTTTTTCTCCTATTACTGGGTTTAAATCAGTGGGAAGAGAGGAAGGGGCTTAAGACTTATGGGAGGAATGAGTTTTTCTTTGGCTAGTTTCTATTAAAATACAAGCAAAAGAACATGTGTGCTGGAATGTTTGCCACATGCTTGAAATTATCAATGCTAACCAGAATGATTTGTAATCTGAGCCTGGAATCTCTGATAAGATAGCAATGCATTCTCACTGGGAACTTTTAACATTTCCCCTGCTTCATGTGACACCTATTCCTCCCACACACAAACATCAGTTTCTAAAGTAGCTACAATCTGACAAGTACAATTGACCTCAGCAAACTCTTTCACTAACCCTCTTCCTTGTTATCACCCCTTACTTTTCCCTTTCTGCTTGCCTAGGAACTGGTTTGTTCTGTGTTTCTCTTCCTGAAAACAATATCCTTGTACCAAACCCTACACAAACCTCTACCTGCCAGTCTACCCACCCACCCTGAACAGGAATGTGACGCAACACTCTTTGGCTGAGATCCTAGATTGCCTAGTGTAGAGATTTATGGTGAAGTACTCTACAATTATAACAAACAAAAATTGAACAACACAATCTTACAGTGCGGGGATAGGGAAGTGGTAGTGCCACAGATATAGTCAGACTAGAATTCCTACCCTCTCTTGACACTGGCCATTCTGGCTGGTAATGGGAATTGATACAAAAACGCCTGGAGATCCTACTCCTAATTTACTGAAAGTCGAGAATCTTTTATCTAGGATTAGGTCACTGGCATTATGTCAACCAAAGAACTCACATTTGTCAGCGTATGTTAAATAGAGTTAACAGCAGTATTGTCCTTGTAATTTCTTATTTCCAATTAGAGTTCTCCCAAGAGGAAAATATAAGCTGAGAACCTGTGTTGAGTAATGTATATCTGGCACATAGCTTTCTCTCTCACTATTACCTCCCTTCCAAAACTAGCATTTAAAGGGTGCACCTTTTAATTTAGTATCCATTTATTGTCTACATAACATCTGAAACCATGTCCTTGCAGACAACTAATTCTCTCACACCAGAAGTGACTTACAGTTTCTCAAGTTGCTCCTGACATGAAAAAAAATTAAACTTCTACATGAATACTTGAGTTTTTGGACTAGCCCATTTTAATAATCTAAAATTGAGATATGGGCATGAAACAGCATACTCAAATTTGCAAAAAAACTGAATCAATGTGAATTTTCAAATTGTGAATTTATTTTAAGTACTGTTCTACCTCCCCACTTTTCTGATCACATTCAGCTTTGACATTAAGCAAATTTATTTAATCAAACAAACAAAAAATGTGATACACCCCATCCTGTGGCCACTTCAGTGTTGTTGGAGAACAGGGGTCTCAGCAGAGATGCATCCAGCTATTTTCCAGTAACTTGATGAACTGCAAGCACATCATCTAAAGAGGCCACCTGAGAGGATCCATAGAGAGTTCTTGCCGATGCCTGTTGCAACATGTCCAATTGCAGGAAAATAGTTGGATGTGTCACCATCATAACCCTGATTTCCTGCAACACAAAAATGGCTGTATCACTTAAAAAGTGAGCTATGGAGAATCTGGTTTGTTGCACACTTGGTACAGAATTTCAACCACCAGAAGGACAAAATAGTGGACTATGATAGCATACATCAGATTGCTCCAGAAGATTCCCAAATTCTTTGAAGCAGATTTGAGACTTACACAAGGAGCTGCACACTGGAGGTGGCGTTCAAAACACTGATATTCTAAAGCAGAGTTGGGCATCTCTGGGATGTTTGATATGCTTTTAATGATTGTTTTAATATATATGTTTATTTTATTGATGCATGTTCTTATGGCATTGAATCCCTCCCTATATATGTGAGTCTCCCTGATTACCCTATGCGGTGAGAAGGGCAGGGTATAAATATGGTAAATAATTATAATAAATAATAGGGCCATCCTAGGGACCTTGAAGGGGTACAGCCTTACCATATATTACCAAAAAAAATCCAAAACATTTCCTCATATTCTCTCAGCAGCCTTTAGATTCTGAGGGGGCATTTTGCCATACTTTTAGGCCCACAAGAGACTTTTTTTTTCCAAAACAGAAATGGAAGGGAAGTTACTTTGGTTTACTTCTAGGTGGGTTTTTAAAAGACTTGTTCTGGACCTAATATAGCCCAGAGGACAAATCGTGGCAAAATACTCTTCTGTCCCTACAGGGTAGGGGGGATTGGGGGAAATGTTATTTTTAAAAAATCCTAGGAAGTTCTGGGGCTACAAAAATAGCCTTTGTACCACAGTTTGCTTATGTCTTCTTACGCTGTTCCTGTGACCCATCATTTCCTCCCATTCCATTCCAATTTCAAGCCATCCTTTTATGGCCACATCATCTAAAGATGCCTGCTGCATAAGTCCCACTACACTTATTATTGCTGTTGCTATGCCCTAACATGATACCACAATGTAATAGATTATTTGTCTAGTTAGGAATGCTGGTTGTCAAAGAAGATGACTCTTTCATTCTGCAGAAGCACAGTTACTTCACTACAGCTGGAAACAGTTTGTTTCTTGGAATGCAAGAAAGCCAAGAGGATGAAACATAAAACAAAACAGACGCAAAAAAGCTCAACCAAATAATTTGAAACGGGAACAAATGAAGAATTGTAGAAAAGTGAGCTAGAAAATAACTACAGCATGAGTAAACATGGCATTCTGTTCAGACTTTGGCCATCATCCTGATGATTAAATTTACCGGCATTGACTTCTTTCTCCAGCACATGTACTTTTAAAATTGTGGCTGAAGGAGGCATCAAGTTGGTCTTTGTGTTTCATTCCCGCAGCTGCTGATAGGGTTTATCCACAGAGCAGGAGAGTGACTTGTGGGACCAAGGACACCTTCTGGTTTTCTTGGCAAGATTTGTTGAGAAGAGATTTGCCACCCATTAGCTTTACTTGAGGTAGAAAGAGTGTGGTTTGTCTGAGGTCACCCAATGGGGATTCAAATTTGGGACTCTAGAGTCATCGTCCAATGCTCAAACTACTACACCATGCTAGCTCCAGCCATCATAATCCCCACAGGGTAACTGTGTATATTCACAACTCCTTCTTCTTCTCATTTGCCACATCTCCCTCGTTTGCCACATTTCTTTGTTCCAAATTATATCCCAATCATGAATCAGAAATGTGTGGACTTTCATGGCAGAGTTGACATTCCTAAAATGGATGAATTGACTCATCTATTGTAACTGATGTTTAAGTATGGAATACGAAGAGGACAATGTGCAACACAGACAAATTTGGGTTATTGTACATTTTTCGGACTGTGTAGCCATGCTCCGGAAGCATTCTCTCCTGATGTTTCACCTGCATCTATGGCAGGCATCTTCTGAGGTTGTGAGCACCCAAACACAAATCAAGAAACATGAAAGGCACTGCAGATCAATTCAACCAGAGAAGTCAGCCATAGCAGACCACCTGATGAACCAACCTGGACACAGCATATTATCTGAGAACACAGAAATGCTGGACCACTCTCACAACCACCATGTCAGACTACACAGAGAAGCCATTGAAATCCACAAGCATGTGGACAATTTCAACAGAAAGGAAGAAACCATAAAAATGAACAAAATCTGACTACCAGCATTTAAAAAAACTCT